AAAATTGCTGGTTGGAGCAACAAATGAACAACAAACCAAGTCCAAGAATATTTAACCAGAAAACAAGCACTGCCAGAGACCAGTCCCCCAGTACGTCCAAACCAACTCTAGAAAGCACCTAAGAACCATCAGATTCTCACATCAGACTGAGCCTTTATACCTAGCCTGGGGCAGATTACCCCCCCCCCCCCCCAGTTCAATCCTGCTTCTCAGGAAGGGGAGATTGTTGAAAGACTAGACCAGTGGCTTGAAGCTGAGGATGCCACTGCCTTTCTGTTATCACCTGCCAGCTAAATGGCCCTCTTTGGTGAAAGGGCACTATGAAATAAGAGGCCCACAGTGCTGAACCTCCAGGAGTTGTTGTCTCCAAGACTCTTGGCTGTTGGGCTTAGGAGAGCTGAGTCCAGCATCTTCTCACTTGTGCTGCTACACTCCTGGCCTGGCTGGCCTCACTGGTTGCTGCTCTTGGCTGAGATTATGACACTTCTGATCATGCACAATGGTGCATACCTGCCGAGTTGTGGGCAATTAACATGCTTTTCAATACAACACCACCACTTGGCAGCCCTGTGGCTTGTTTAAGTGTGTTAGCAGAAACTGGTAGAAATTACACATAATCTGTGTGCATACATGTGATAGCACATTATTCATGAACTTGCAAATGATTAAGAAGGAACTTGTTTTATAACAAAAAGGGCTGAGATGTCTCATGCTATAATAAGGGAGTGGAGACTCTGAATAGGATTGAGTGGAACATTACTAGGCACCCAAAAGGATGTAGAGCCCCAGTTGTTCCAGAAACTGGGCAGGGTGCTTCTAGATGAGAATATATTGGCACCACTGCCCGGCTTTGGTCACAGAATTTTCAGGTGGTGGGGGAGTTCCAGGCAATATTGTCTTCCTGTATCCCTCCTGTGCTTTCTCACCTCTTCTTCCTTTTTTAAAAAACTTCAGAAAATCTGTTCTTGTGCCAAGGAGAGCTGTACACTTGGCCTTCCAGTCAGTAGTAAGAGCCTCCTTGTGTGGACCCAAACTCAAATCTATGAAAGGAGCTGTTTTTAAAAGTACAAATAACCTTACAGATCATTTAGTCTTGCTGTTGCTGATTTGCTTTACAGAGATGTGCTGAAAAGGTAGATGATGACTGCTGGAGACCATCTGATTAGCAATTTCTTACCTATGGATACAGTTGCCAGATTTGGCTCAAGCTCTCTGTTGTTATTATAAATACTTTGGATGGTGGCGGGGGAGGGGGGAGCACTTGTTTTTCTTTTTTGGTGATTCTAATTCTGTGGCTTGCATATCTCTCTGCTGATCATAAATGAGCCTGCCTCTTTCTGGCCAATTTCTCCCCCTCATCTAAAAATCTCTCATCTGCAAACTTTTCCTTATGCCACAAAAGCGTGTTTTCTTTGCTGTCTGATGGCCAGTCATCATTTCTATGCTGATATCTTGATTTCTCTTTATGAAGACTCACCTGTTCCCTCCACTGTCTGGGTAAAGGACCAAGTCACTTCACTGTCCTGTACAATGTCCAGCACATTGTAAAATGTAAACTTTGAGCAGCCATCTAAATATGGGACTTAGAATAGGATGCAGAATTGAACATCTGGACCATTTCAGTTTTCATTTGGAAAATACATTTCTAGTCTTGAGGGTATGGATAGGGAACTTGTCTCTCTCCAGATTTTGGCCTACTACTCTCACCAGCCTAGTCAGCATAGCCAGTGGTGAGGAATGATGGGAGTTTTAAATCAAATTATCTGGAGGGCCCCGGTTTGCTTTGAACGTAGGCTTGAAAATATATGGGCAATATCAAGTGTTGACGTTACAGCTGAGCAGCACTTCCATTGATCAGTGAACAAAAGTCTTGGGCAGCATGGAGAGAATCTGTTCTGCAGACTATATGTAAATCTGATTAATTTTCACCAGTTTGCCATTTCAATGGAACAGGGTTTGAGTTGCCATGGTTAAAGTAAGGTACAGAATTTAATTTATTTAGGTTGCAATCCTATGCATGTTTAGACAGAGAAAAGGCCTACAACTCCTAGCATGTGCTGGTTTTTCACCAGTTATGTTAGGTCCTACTTTGTGTTGTCACTAAGTATAGATAATAGCAGCAGCTGTGCAATGGTGGATTGCACATTGAGGAAAATCTCTATTACTTACCTACATGTATTATAAAGCATAAGAATCTTATATATTCTCTTTGTCTGTGATTTGCAAATATCTGGAGCTTTGAGAAATGTTGAAAATTACATGAAATGTAAATTGAATGGGCCATGTACAGTGTTAATGTTAAACATATTTAATATTAGATTGTATTTTCATGCTCTCCTAATTAAGGACTGAGTCCCATAGGTTTAAGACGACACCATACTAAAAATAAAGAGAAGTTATACCAATAATCCAGTCTTGTCAGAGCTGGACTTTGCTCAGACATGCTTTTGAAATTCTACTTCTTACTTTTTTACCTTCTGTTGCTACAGTCATAGTGCTGTCATTGTCATGTAGCTTAGGTCCGACAGTGATCCAGTAGGTTCTATCCCATGAACTGTAGACCACTGAAGGTGCAATCATATACCCAAACCTACTGGATTTTCACTGAACTCAACAGGTTACAAGTATTTCTAAATATACATGCTTAAGATGCAGCATTCACTGAGTTCTAGATAAAGTGTGTGCTGTTACTGTGCCCTCTCTTGGAGGCTATAAAGAATGACACCCTGACATGAAAACAGGATGCCATCTAGTATTTTACATAAAACTATAATACAACTGATACAATTGATAGGGAAAGATGCCAATTTAGGAAAGATTAAGATATTGGAAAATGTTCATAGTGTGTTTAGTGTAATCTAGAATTAGTATTAGAACAAAATTATGTTCAAGGTCCAGTAAAGGGACTATCAGATGATCCCATTTAATTCAGCATATGCAGCTGTCATCTAAAGCAACATTTGCACTAGCTCCTCTTCATCAGGCCATTTCTAGATCTATCTGTGATCAACTGTATTTGCAAAGTAATCCATACATATCTCCCATACCTCTAGTATCATCTTGATTATCAAGAAGCAGTGGATCAGGTAGGGTGCTGAGTTCAACAGGTGTCATTAAGTGTAGCAGAGTGACATATTTCCCTGCTATAATTCCTGACCCATAAAAAGAACTTTTGTGCAACACAGAGCCTATTCTTCTCTCTGGGCCCTCACATGAGACTCAAATGCTGAAATGGATAACCTCTGCAGCAGCAGACAAGAAGCATAAAAGAAAGGGTCAAAGTAAATGTAAGTTCAGTCATGTCACCTACTAAGTGACTGTCATAATGTGAGCCCCTGTGAATTTCCACACATTTTCCATCTTTTATTTGAGCATCCTGGCCCTACCCTATCCCCTTCTATAAAAAAAAAAACAGTAAGATTTGCCAAAGCAGTCATACCTACTTTTTATGATATAATCCAAACTGAGTAACCAAGAAATGTTATCTTTTGAGGCTATGTAGATTAAATGGTCTGTTTGTGTAATTCAAATGCTTTCAGCAACACCTATAATTTAACAAATTGGTTGATTTAACAAAATATATCATCACACCTATTCTACTGAACTAAAACAAGATATTAATTTATGGTAATTACCAGCACAGTCATATGGAAGTTTGCTTGGATGTACATCCTACTGTGTTCTTTGGAGTTTACATCCAAGCAGGTGTATTTAGTGGCCTATGCACACTTAGTTGGGAATAAGTACCACTTATAATGGGTTGCTTCGTTTTTCCATATCAACCCTCTCAGCTGGATTACTGCAATGCATTTGTGCGTCTGCTTTTGAAAAAGGTCTAGAAACTTCAGATGGTCCATAACAGGGACTGGCCAGTATGGTTGTTTCAGGGAAGTGCTATATCATCTGCATTGGCTGCCAGTTCATTCTGGGGCTCAATTCAAGTGCAACTGTTACTGTTCAAAGACCTGACTTGGGGTCAGGTTACCTAAAGTATTGTCTCCTCCAATTTACACCTACCAGACCCTAAGATCATCCTCAGCAATCCTTCTGTTGGGGGCCCCTGCCAAAGGAAATGAGGTAGGTGGCTACTGCAAAGAGGATCCTTTTTGCTGTTGCATTCCAGTTATGGAGTGTAGTGCTCTTCCCAGGGCAAGGTGAAATCCTCCTTATTTGACCAGGAATTCGAGTCTTTTGGTCTCTGTTATTTTTAATCCTTTGCTATGTTTTAAGTCTTTGCAATGTTGCTAGATTTTACTTTGCCTTTTATTTCTATTTTATACTGTAGTTTTAAACTTTCATATTGTACTTTGTTATGGGTTTAATTGCTGTGAACCATCAAGAAAGCTATTGCAAGGTAATTTATTTATTATTTATTTGAAGCAAGTAAATTTAGAACAAAGATGTATGTATTTCCAAAATGATGAAAGAGTTAGCTTAATTTGATGATGGATCTCTGTGGGAAATACAATTATTTTTTAATTGTTGAACAGTCCGTGTTGATCGAAGATAACACAGGTTGCTGCTGCAGTTCCAGTAAGAGTGACTGAGACCTTGTGAACGCCTAAAATCGGAGGATGCTAATTCTTTAATTTGCATGTGATATTTGTATGAATAATTGGGCCAGCCATAAAATGGACATTTGATTTAGCGTAGAGAACCTATTTAGGAGACCGAGGCGCAGAGGAGGCTACATGACGTTTTGCTTTACGCAAAATCTGCTTTATACATCCCCGTCATCAGAAGGGAAGACACGAAATCTCAGGTCGCGCAGGTTGCAAGAATCTTTATTTCCTTCTCGGCGCCGAGAAGCCTAACAAACTACCTTTCCCAGAAATCCTCGCTTTCCCAGATTCCCGCCCACGACTTCTCGGGATGAATGACGGTTATTACAGTCTCTGGCTGCTATCCTCCTGCAGCGATAAGCAGCTTAGAAGAACTACGTCTCCCAGCAGATCAGGCGGCGGGGCGGATTTCTGCGCATGGCTGTTCGCGTTTCTTTCCCTACCTCCCCTGCAGTTACCGTTACCGTGTTCGGTATCCTGGGCTGGTGCGCGCGGAGCTGAGATGGGCAGCTGGGCAGGACGCACCCCCGGGGAGCAGGTGAGGGGCGCGGGCAGCAGCGCGCGGCTGCTGCCCGGCGGGAACGGGGCCGGGGTGGGGGCGAGGCTGAAGACGACGGCGCGGCTGTGTTGCCATGGCAGGTGTATCTGGAGCCTGGGTGGAGCTGTTGTCTCTGGACGAAGCAGGGCAAGGGGAACCTGGACCCGGTTCATCTCTTGTTGTCCGCATCCTTCGAAACGGCCTGTGCCTACATAAGCTATTTGCTCCGGATTAGGTGCCCTTCGCTTTCCAAGGTCTTCCACAAACTGCTCTTCCAGAGCGCTTCTTCCTTTCTTTCGCTGTTCTCGCCGTCCTAATATTCATCTTTGCGAGCTGCAGAGCCCTTACCATGCTGGGTAACCGTTTCTTCCTCGTGGGGTGGAGGTCGGGCATCTGTGTATGCACTAGGACCTGTAGCCTGGACAGCTTTTTTTTTCTTTCTAGATCTAGGGCGCAATTCTACGCATGTTTAGACGGAATAAAGTACTGCATTTTTCAGCATTCCCCAGCCGTTATGCTAGGAGTTTTTCTGTCTAAAACTCATAGGGGAGCCTCTTTAAGAACTTGCTCACACTTGGCTGGCCATGAGCAGTGGATTCCCCATTGAGCTTTGCTGGGGCTTGACCACCAGTTACAAAGTTCTCATGTTTAACCAAAATGAAGCCTTTGGTTGCTTAGGAAATCTGTGTTTTAGCATGTGACTGGTAAAGGATGAAACCTAAGTGTAGGCATTCATCGTTGTTGTTGTCCTCTTCAAATGTTTATTTAACTCTTCCTCCAAGGTGCTCTGGGTGGTGTGCCTGGGTATCTCCACCACAAGCTATTGAAGGAGGTTAAACTGAGAGAGAACCTAACCTGGCTCCAAATTCTCCATTGTTGTCTAGGACAGCCTTCCCCAATCTGGTGGACTTCAGAGGCATTTGGACCTCAGCTCCCATAATTTCCATCCAGCAGGGCCATTGACTGGGACTTCTGGGTGTTGCAATCCAAGTGTCTGGAAGGCACAAGGTTGGGAGAGGCTGGTCTACAATGTAAGTAGACCAAATCTCAGCGCCCAGTAGAGGATAGAACTGTCTGTGGGAAATAATTGCTCTTATTATTCTTAATAATTAATAATTGTATAGTGCAGTTCACCCAGGCCTTACAATAATGATTGGTTTATTTTTTGTTGTTGTTATCGTTAAGTGATCCATAGAAAAGAGCACGTTTCTGATTACTGTGAAAGGAGAGTGGTGCATGGGTGTTGTGCTGAACTGCAGCCATGGCTCACTTGAGGGAATTTGCCCATCAGGTAAGTGAAAATTGGTTTTGTTTCCTAAACCAAGGTAAATCAAACTGAAGCACCCAAATAAACAAAACAGTCGTATTGTGTGAGAAACTTGGCCAATAGACTTGAATACATTCCTACTAAAATTCTTGATGATTTGTCAGTTTTCTGATAGCATCTAACTTAATAAAGTAGCATTCACTCATTTAAAATTAGCAAAGTGCCTCTCTCTCTGCAGCTAGTTTTCTTCATCAGGGTTTGGGAACTTTATTTATTTATTTATTTATTTATTTATTTTATTAAAACATTTCTATGCCGCCCCTTGCCAAGGCCTCGGGGCGGCTTACAACATGCAGAAAGTAGCTTCCTTACCTTTCTATAAGGAAAGCATAGCCAGAACTTAATGTAGTATATCTAATTGGGCTCACATGTGGAGTTTGGTATGTGACACAAAACTCAGCATCCTTTGAATCTCAGCTGTCATTGCTGAGGAGTGGAGCAGGATAGTTCTTCGCTGTTACCTATGATTAAAACATAATTACATTATGCTGCATAGGTGAATACATATTCATTTGACTGTGTAATTCATACAGGACTTAGAATTGAGATGACCATGATGCAGGAAAAAATGGGGTTCTGGTGGTGCTTTCCCTTTAGTGCAGTGAGCACAATAGAATGGTGCAAAAGATATCTAGGGAGCAGTCGCCCTTCTTATCACAACTAGATTTGCAGGGAGCACCCAGGGTGTTATCTGCTCCACTTAACACTGAACAGGTAACTATTGTTTGACTCCATTTCCCAAGTGCTGCAAAAATGATAGGTCTTGACTTCCACTGGTTTTATTCAATGTGACAGTGGTTCTGCGGTGATAGTGTCTAGAAGGATAACCATGTTAGTCTGTTGCCACCATTTTTTGTGTTTGAACATTTTTGTCCCACCTTTTACACCAGTGTGGGCAAGGCAGTGCACCTGACCCTCCTTCCCTCTATTTATTTTCATAACAATCCCACGAGGCTGGAAGTCAGTGACTGGCCTAAAGTCACACAGTGAGCTTCCCAGTACTAAGCACTTCACCACATAGACTCTTTGGATGACTCTGTTGCACTGTATTTTCTTCATCCTTTTTTAAAAGTTTGGTGTGGTATGTTTCTCAGAGCATTTATTGGAAAGACAGCTTTATTTTACACAATATTTTAGCATCTGTATAATATTGACTCCTCTGAAGCATCCTGATTATTCTTGATTACTCTTACAAGATGAAAATTTGTTCCATACAGATTCAATATTTTTGTGTTATTTCTTTTGCATCCAAAATTTGGTCTACCTTGTCACTTCCTCCCATGTTTTGTATTGCCCCTTGAGCCAGCCCATGAAGTATTGACAAATCAAAGCATTGTCTTTCTGCAATTTTTGTTTGCTTTCCCTATCATTTAAATTGATTTTTACAGTCAACTGACATAGCAACATTATGTGCAATCCCGTAAGAGGTAGGAAAGCAGGCAGTTATTCACAAAGTGAATGATGGGTATATTTAGTTTGGTTTCCTGGCACATACACTGTAAATACTAAGTAAAATTTGTCTGTGCTGGGAGCCTTGCACATTGCTCTTGATTTGGGCCACTCTTGCCAAAGCTAGTGGAATTTGAAGCTGAGTCTTTTGTGTACAATACTCGCTTTTGTAAGCTACAGTATAATCCCCTTTATTTTTACCATTTTAGTGTTTGTGGTAGGAACAAGAGGTCAGGAGGAGTATCATGTCAAGTTGGGAAGTGCCAAGGAGCATCACTGAGGGTAGGCTGTTGACCTGTGTTCAGTCAGGAACATTGAGATCACTCCTGAATGTGTTATTTTTAAGGCTTTTGTAAGATTAAGGTAGGTTTTCTGAATGCTTCATCCAGGGTCTTTGCTACAGCACACTACATCTCTTTTTATATGTGCCAGTCCTCTTGGTGCATCCCTTATTCCTCCTGGTTTTCCCAACAGACAACGTTTTCCTTGGATTCTTCTATCAGAGGTTGCTTACTCCAGCTCAGTGGTTCCTGCTTCCTTTACCCTCTGCTGTTTCCAGTTTGATACTTAGGTTTCTAGTGTGTGTCTGCTTATAGGCCCATGCAGTTTCAGTTTTGCTGTGGAGGCTTGAACATATTTCGTGGTCCTCTCATGTTGTTAAGGTGATGGACCCTGTTAGAATAGTCCACAAATTGTGGAGTCTGCTGTTCAAGGGTGTGTGCAGTCATCACAGGACAAGTTGTTTATCTTTCGTATCCTATCCAAAGGTTTCTCAATGATACCTTATCAGTTTAATTATGCATGGTGAGAGCATTTAAATCTGATTAAAATCTCAGGTAGAGCAGGAACCGAAACAGGCGTGGTCCTTGTTGATGACACATTCACACTACTCAGAACAGCACATGTACTGGATGTGTAGTGCTCATAAGGAAGGAGAAGTATGATGTGCCCTTCAAAAAAACTTCAGCAAGAATCTGTACAAATATTCAGAAAAATTATTGCATATTTTGATAGAATTCTGCTTCTTTTGTTCATCTAAAGGCTTAATCAGAAACAGCCGGTGTATCATTAAGAAAGTGCCTCAATTAATGTATGGTCAGATATTCAGACAACTGTCCTGTATCATATTTCAATCAAAAGTGACATTCTGTGAGCTTTGGAAACTGCAGTACCTCTGAAGGAGGGATGTAGAGCATTTTGTTGGAACATTGCTGACTAATAAACCAGATATGCAATGTCTTATTTGAGTAACCACCATGGAAGTAGAAACCCCAGAACCTAAGGCTGTCAGGTGGGCATGACCAAGATGCAAGCTGTTAATGCCCTGAGTGTTAGAGAAACAGAAAATGGAAAGTGCTTCTAACTCCCACATTGTGCCTTACATTCTTTTTGGATGAGAGACATTTAGGCAGAAAGAAGGTACTGTAATTTCTTCAGACCTGCTGAGGTTGTTGATATTGGAAATAAATGTGGCCTAAATCTGTGGGGAATATATGAAAATAGCTTTTGTCCTTCTGGGTACCAGTATTGCAAAAGCTGATATCTAGCACATTGAGGTATTCATGCCATGCCCTTATTTATTTAGAAGTCAACACTGTTTGACTCAGTTCTCTCTTCAAATCTACATTTGACCCATCACACTGATTTTGTGTGTGTGGTGGACAGAAGATTAAAACTGACTTTCTGAATGCACAAGAACAGAGAATCTATTTTGACTCCCTGAAAGTTGCTTGAGAGGGTATAAAAATGCAATACCAGCTTGATAAGATCTTGCGGACATCCTGTTGGAGAATGAACGATCATGTGCCTCACTGGTAAAAATGCAATATAAGCTTTGCAGATGTGTTTTCAAACCAGATGGGGACTGTTAGATCCTTGATATCCTGGAAGGGGTAGAAAAATGCCATTTGGTATAGCTTTGCAATGTACAGGATGGGTCACTGGCCTGCACAACAGAACGGGGGTGGGGGGCTCACCAGCCGCTTCTCTTGCTTTGGTACTGGGTGTTTTTCTGCCTTGAATGGGAAGAGATGAAGCCAACCCCAGGAAGCTGCACTAGAGGAGGGAGGCTGTTTCTTCCCAGAAACATTCTGTCCTCAAACTATGCTCTTCTTGTATGCTTTGGGGTCAGGATGTAACCAGGTATGGTCTGAGTTTCTGCCTGAAAGGATTGTTCCTCTCTTGCAAAGGGAATAAGTGGCTAAAGTATACAGCTTGGATATGAGCCATGTCAGAAACCTCCTGTCTTATAGCTAGATGGGGCTAGTTTTGAAGCTGAAGGGACCTCCTTTTCTTTATGTGACTAGAAGAAAAACTTCGGCAAATGTGAGCATGGGGTATTATGTTAAATTTGAGTTTAAAGCTTTGAAGAGAAGGGAAAATATCACCTTCTGTTTTACACTTCTGTGGATGGAGAGAAGTTATGGGGGAGGGTATGCATAACACAGGTAACCCACAGATGAAAGTTATTTCTGTATGTGCCTCACTTACGATCTCTCTAATCCTTACAACAATCCCATACAGTACGTCAATATTATGTCTGCATTGTAGTGTGCAGATGAGGAAAAAATCGCAGCAGGATCTTCCTAACTCTTGTTTCCTTAGTTCCTATGCCATGCTCATTAGAGTTAGGCTTGTACACTATAGGAAAATTTGGCACTAGATCATCTTTCCAAATTATTGCCTAATTTCCACTACCTGTTCTTGAACATTTCTCTTGAAGTTCTGCTGGCAAACTTGCCAGTGGTTCTGGAAAGTTCAGGGTGCAGCAGAGTCACCATATATGCTTACTGTAAGTATATTATGATGCCACATAATAATTGGCCTTTATGTGTATGCAGGGAGCCCTACCACATATATGAAGTCTTAGGAGTACCACAGCTAAACCTGTCAAATTTCAGCAGGTTTTAAATATGTCCCAGTACAATTCTAATTCAAATAGAAGTGAGAATTTGCTGTTCAGTTCTGAGTTTTCCAGAAGTCAGCAGCATTACTAGTACATTTTAATTTCCACCAAAAATGTTAGAATTCAAAGACAGTTTGAAGCTGTATAGACAGTATGAATATGAGAACTAAAGTCTCCTATTCACAAACACAGAATCACATGGCATGCCTTGGTCACTGGGAATGATGGGACCTGTAGTCCAACACATCTGAGGTCGCCAGAATGTGAAAGACTTTGTTAAATTATTATGGTTGAAATCTGTGGATTGACATATGCTCTAAAAATACTATCTAATCCTCCTTTAAATCCATCTAAGAGAATGACCAACACCACACCTAGCACATTTCATAAGAATTGCGTATTGAAGAAGTACATTGTCTTTTGTGAATCATTGGCCATTGGATTATCCTGAGCTGTCAGAATATGGAAGGGAGAAGCTTCTGCATCTGCTTCCCTCACACCATGTACATTTTGTAGGATATGTTGGGTGCGTCAGTCATCTCAGATGCCTCCTTTGATGCACATGCAATGTAGTAATAATGATAGTAAGGGCTGAGCCCTAAGGCCTAAATCATAAGATGGCTTTAAGAGAAGGTGAGTCAGTAATGGGAAAAGCACTGATCTGCTATTTAGTACCCTGTGGATATGTTTTGAGTGTCTGACTGTCTGCTTCTCTCTTTTTGCACATTCCTGCTGAGCCAGCACTCTCGAGTTGATCCAGAGGAGTTGTTCACCAAGCTGGAGAGGATCGGTAAAGGGTCGTTTGGGGAGGTGTACAAAGGAATTGACAACCGTAGCAAGGAGGTGGTAGCTATCAAGATAATTGACCTCGAGGAGGCAGAAGATGAAATTGAGGACATTCAGCAGGAGATAACAGTGCTCAGTCAGTGTGACAGTCCCTACATCACCCGTTACTATGGCTCTTACTTGAAGGTAACTGAAGCAAGCAGGACAGTCGTATCGCAGTGTCTTGCTGTAATGAACAGTGCAGCAATGTGTAAAATGGGTAAATACATTTAGTGGGTGGAGTTTGCTACAGGATAGTGCATTTTTGTTTTCTTCTTTGGAAGCAAATGAGGGTGCCAGGGTGTCAAAATCTACTGTTGCAAGATCAAGCTGTATGATCAGGACAAACACATAGGGCAGCTCTTGCTAGATCTGCCGTTTAAATCTGTGGTTTGGAGATTACAAATTTGAATTCTCCCATACACAGAATCTTTCAGCACATAAATAGCAGTGTAGGGAAAAAAAGCTTAGCAGGAACCCTCCTCCTGACATGCCAATTCTCTGTATGTATGTGTTTTCTATATAGGAAAGCATCAAATGAGATTATAGTCACCTGTAGTCTTAAATGGTATAGCCTGTCAAGAGCTGTATTATGTGACTCTTTTATTACTGCTACTCTACATTGTATTTATAGCCTACATTTTTTCCTCTCATGAGGATCCCAGGCTGGCTTATGTAGCTCCGTTTTATCCTTGCAACAACTCTATGAGGTAGGTTGGGCTAAGAGTGAATGACTGGCTCAAAGTCACTCAATGAGCTCCATGGCTGAAGACTACAACCCACATCTTCCAGGCCCCCAGTCCAACAATCTGACCACTAAACATGCTGTCAGCGAAATTAAGTGCCTTATCTATGTAATTTTTGTGTTCCATAACATTTGTTTGTAAGACCTGGATGATTCAGCAAACTGAGAAATGTATCTCTGTAACTTCAAAGGCAATCCTGATGGACTTTGAGACAATTTAAGCTCTAAACAGCATGCATTGCCCTCACCCATCTCTCTTTCTTATTCACAGGGCACCAAACTGTGGATAATCATGGAATATTTGGGGGGTGGCTCAGCACTGGATCTAGTAAGTATCTTTGTTGTTCATTTCTGCTTCCTTATTTAGCCAGATACATAGAATTCAAGTGAATTTGATATTGGATGAATGGAGCTATGATTTCACCTGCTCATTCAGAACTGCCATAATTCATATTTATTGCATAGACTCCTTGGGTTGTTCAACAAAATGACTTATGTGTGAACTTCTCAATATTCAACAGTAGGAACTTAGGGTGCAAATGCTCTCTGTTTCTGCTGCAATTCATACAGAAGTGCAGGCACACAAATTTGGCTCATGTTGCATTCTTTATTTCATTACTCAGTGAAAGACTGTGGCAGGTATCCAAGCAAACTTTGTTAAGCTGGGAAGACTGGGCAAACTTTTTTTTTGAAAATCTTAATTTTCAAAAGCAATCATTCACTTACTGATCATCTTTCTCCCCTCTCCTTACAGCTCAAGCCTGGCCCCTTGGAAGAGACCTACATTGCCACTATCCTACGAGAAATTCTAAAGGGTTTAGACTACCTTCACTCTGAGAGGAAAATTCACAGAGACATAAAAGGTCAGGCTTGCAAAATACATACTTCTGCTTATTTTTGACAGTTCATCTTTGAGACCAGTGAAATCATGACTGCAGTTTGCTTATACTGATTATGTTCAGATGGGAATAACCAAGCCTAGGCACGTGCATTTCTTTGTTGCCGCTGTTAAATGCTGTCTAGTCATCTCTGACCTATGGTAAACCTATGAACAAAAGCTCTCCAAAATGTCCTATCCATGACATCTAAATTCTGTTTAAGTTCAAGGCTGTGACTTCCTTTATGGAGTCAATCCATTTCTTATTTTCTCTTCCTTTTGTCCTTCTGCCTTTGACTTTTCTTAGCAAGATTGTCTTCTCCAGTGAATCTTGCCTTCTTCCAGTGTGTTCAAAGTATGACAGCCAAAGTCTCATTTTTCCAATTTCTTGGCTGCAGCCTCCCTCTGAATTGATAGCTGAGCCAAGGTATACAAAATCTTGTACAATTTCTGTGATTACACCTTAAACCAAGGCATCTGGATTCTGGACAAACCTGTGCACTTGTCAGTCTGAAGAATCCCATTTTTTAGGAGACATGAACCATGATTGTGAAAGTGGAGCAGGGAGTAAGGTGTCTGTTGCAGGTGTGAAGAGAAGGAAGTTTGGCTTCTAGGTGCCAGATAAATTAACAGAATTCCCAAACTTTGCCTGCCAGCTATGAACATTTCTGATCCAATTTTGAAAGATATAGGAGCACATTAGCAAGTTGTATAATAATTGATGTTAGCTGATGTTAGCATTATTGTGCTTGTTACAATTTTGCTTTTACTTGCTGTGGTAAAGTCCTGTTGAAGCAAATTATTTAACTCATCACTGTTCTTGCTGGGTTTTCCACAGTGTGTCCCAAGCTACATATGTTATAGTTCCTGTGGCTAGTAATCATGATATAAGGACCTTGGTGAAGAATAAAAGGCAGGGTCATTGCTTCCCAAATACTTGTGGTGGCAATTCCAATATGATATAGAAAAGGGAAATAGTAAAGAAGAAGATGCGACTAAGGATGGAGTACAAAGTGGGGTTAAATGAGACCTCACCCAGGGCAACAAGATAAGCCCATTGAACCTCTTAGAAAGGTGTAAGGCAGGGGTTTTTTTTTGTTTACTAACAACTTAGTATTTGCCTACTGGCCATGCTGGCTGGGGCTGATGAGAGTAGAAGTTAATAACACTGGAATGGTATCAGGTTGGGGAAAACTGAAATAAGGAATTGGACTGAGGTGGAATTGAAGACTTACGCAATTTTCTGAATGTTTCTTGTGTTCATTTTTGCTTAATATTCCTTAAACACCACACAGGCTATGAGGAGAATTAACACAAAACTGTTTACCAGTGTATCATTAAAGCATTTTACAGGGAGAGAGTATTGTATACCCCTTGGATTCAGGTTCTTCTATTACTTTTTTGTATGAACAGCTGCCAATGTGTTGCTTTCGGAGCAAGGGGATGTGAAACTGGCTGATTTTGGTGTGGCTGGCCAGCTGACAGACACTCAGATCAAAAGAAACACATTTGTCGGGACTCCATTTTGGATGGCACCTGAAGTCATCAAGCAGTCAGCCTATGACTTTAAGGTAATCTAGGAGCAGCAGCTCTGTGTTGGAATATGTGTTATCTTGTCAGGTGATAACACTGGGATTAAAAAGAACAAAGGATGCATGTAGGTGCACATCTCTGAGCAGCTGGTGCAGATTTTCCCACAGCTCCTGCATCATAGTGTGCGTGGTACACGTGCCTGCCCTTGTTTGGCTTCCTCTGTCCACACCACTAGGTTGAGCACACTGTCAGAATACTTCTCCCACCCCACCTGCCAGGACATCTACATTCATAGAGACACCTTTTACCAATTAACCATCAAGTTCTGATCATCTTTGAAATGCATAGTTTGCTACTCTGGGGTGGTTCCTCTGAATTTCCATGGGTTATATCCGGCTATTATTTGTCCATCTGCTTGAATGTTCCCTCATTTTTCTTTGTAGTTAGCAACTGTGCCACTTTTCTGTTATTTCCAAAATGCATGTTGTTCTACTCCCACTGGGTTCATGCGTCACAATTCTGTCCTTATAAAAATGCATGGTGTTCTGCTCTGTAGTACTCAAGTTGGATCTATTCAATGATACAGACAGGAAGTTTCCATTAAGCCTTCAAAGTTTTTCCTTGTCAGGGATCTGTTATACCACTTTGCATCAGACCAAAGACCCTGGTCCTTCCCAGTTATGAAAATGGGAGATGACCCTTTGCTAAAGGGAGGCTAGGTGGTGAAGGAAGGAAAATCTCCGTATTTCTGTGACTTTAGTCCAGTTTACTCTGAATTTGCTCCTCATCCCATCTTGCCAGACAATTTCATGGAAGTCTACCATATATGGAATGCGCTCCCCAAAGAGGTCCACCTGGCGCCGTCGTTATTTGTTTTTTTGCGCCAGGCCAAGACCTTTTTATTTAAACGATATTTTAACTGATAATTGCTGTTTTTATTTATTGGTTTTATAGCTCTGCCGAGATGTATCCGGATTTTTAAAGTTTATTCAACATTTGTTTATTTGCTTTGTAAACCGCCCCGAGGCTTGTTGCAAAGGGGGCGGCATAAAAATGCTTTACATACATACATACATACATACATACATACCAGGGGTGACCAGACTTGCTCAATGGAAGAGCCACATACGGTAAATGTTGTATGTTTGAGGACCACAAGCAGGCGCCAAGGGGTGGCAGCAGCAGATGACAAGCGGCAGCAGGCACCCACAGGTGGTGGCGGTGGATAGTGAGTAGCGAGCAGGTGTCTGCAGGTGCCCACAGCAGCAAGCCAAAAATCAGCTCAGAGCCTTATGCAGCTCCCATTCCTGATACATACCAATAGCCACCTGGTATTCCCATCAGCATTCAATCAGAAAAGAATGTGCTTATCAGGAAAGTGCATATGTCTAAGCTTACACTCCTGCCATAATAATTTAAAAAATAAAATTTACAGTGGAAGTGCTGGTTGCTACAGTCAGATAAAATGTTATGAGGAAACATCTATGGGATGCTGTATTGAGTGTAACAATGCAGCATTAGTCTTTAAGTGTTAGACTAATGCAGAGTGCTCTAAATACATTCTTTTTCATTTTTCTTCCAGGCAGACATTTGGTCCCTTGGCATTACTGCTATTGAACTGGCAAAGGGAGAGCCTCCAAATTCTGACCTGCATCCTATGAGAGTTCTTTTTCTGATTCCCAAAAACAATCCTCCAACACTGGAGGGACACCATAGCAAGCCCTTTAAGGAGTTTGTGGAAGCCTGCCTTAACAAGGACCCAAGATTTGTAAGTGTAACTTTCACTTCTTGTAAGCAGAGCCTGGGTATAGGTCAGAGATCTCTTGAGGGTAGAAAACCTGACAACTGCTAAGCAAAGTTGATTGACCTTTGGTGATGAACAAAGAAAGGCACAGCAAAATAAAAAAGACTCCTGAGAAAAACCACAGTGGCTGGCTGGCTTTTTTGTGATGGCCCCCACCAGCTAAGGCTCCCTGTCTTGTCTCCTGTTTTTCCATAGAGGCCCACTGCAAAGGAATTGCTAAAGCACAAATTTATCACACGTTACACCAAGAAAACATCATTTCTCATGGAGCTCATTGACCGGTACAAACGCTGGAAGTCAGAGGGGCATGGTGAGGATTCCAGCTCGGATGACTCGGAAATGTATGTGTTCCTTCTGCTTTTTCTCCTTCCTCTTCTGTTCTCCCCACTCACCTCAGTTAAGGGTCACATCTCAGTTGTTACTAAGGGTGGTCTCTGCAGAGCAAAAATTGACTGCTTTTTTTTCTTTTAAATTGTTATATTATTATTATTTATGTATGTTTTTATGTATTCTTTGTGAGCCGCCCCAAGGCTTTGTTGCGATGGGGGCGGCATAGAAATGTTTTAAATAAATAAATAACATGTGTAACAGTGGATCTAAAAACAGGGATGTTTTGGATAGGAGATTCTGGAGGGCTTTCATTTGTAGGGTCACTATAAATTGAAGACACAACATGTAGCAAGAACATGAGTTTCAGTATGGCTTGTTGGGAAGGAGAGATGAAAATAAAAGCAGAATGAATTGGCATGCTGGCTGTCTCCATTTAAACAAAATAACAGAAGAGAGACATAGAGTATGTATACCCAATTCTGGGTAGTGAGTTGGGAATCTGTTGGGAAAAGGGGAGCTCTGTGAATTGAGTACCAAATGCACTGTAATCTCTTGTTACAATAGCTGGGAAGTGGCAGACACAGAACTGTGAAAAAGTGGAACTAAGTTCAGCATACCAGCAATTGAAGTAGTTCTGCCTGCTGTCTGATAATCTTGACTACACATGGCTGTATTGAATGCTGTCTTTGAGTATGACCCCTGAATCTCTCTATTTCTAGTGATGGAGATGCCGATGAGAGAGATCAGGGACCCATCTGGACTTTCCCACCAACAATTCGCCCCAATTCCCTGAACAAGCTGCACAAAGGGATGCCTCATCACGGGTCCCAAAAGGTCAGTTTGGTTCCAGTGCAGCTGAAGAGCAGGAACCCACGCTAGTGGTGGTAGGTCTGCGGGAATGTTTTGCCATGGCCCCCATATTACAACATGGCTTGATTTGACATTAGGGGCTGTTCTTTCTCTGCCCTGCTTTTTGTTGACTCCAAGGGTTCCTTTTAATTAATGCAGCTGTAATATAGAATCTTTGCCAAGGACAGCAATGCTGTTCCTAATTTGCTGCCAGCAAATGGAACGAAGTGCACAGGTAAGAAACTTGGTGCCCTCCAGATAGTTTTGATACCAAGTTCTGTAAGCCCAGCCAGCATGGGCTACTGAAGTTGTATGCCAAAACATCTGACGCCTTCCTGCTTCTGCCCCTGCAGTACAACTATGCTCCCAGTGAATAGTCGCTTGTTCCTACCATTGCTGTTTTATGCAGGAGAAACTAGAAAGTTCTTAATGAGTATTTTTCCTACTTTGTTTGCATGCCAATAGAAAAAGAGAAAGTAAGTGGTTGAAAAGAAAACTTAGGCTAACATTAACAAGCAACTTTCCTTTTCTAGCCAGTTGAACCCATCAAGCGGCAGCCACGGTCTCAGTGTCTCTCTACTCTTGTACGTCCTGTCTTTGGAGAGGTGAGACAATGGCAGAGCTGATGTCTTTTCATATACTTGCTATAACATGTGAATGTTTTGTTGAGAAACTGTGGAATATTGGGGTAGGATAGAAAGAAGCATCAGAGGCGGAGGTATGTGAGAGAACAGGCAGTGTGTGTGGGAGAGCGCCTATTGGTAAAAATGAGATGCATTTTCTACTTTTTGCTTATAGTCCATTGCTTGCCATCAAGAGCTTCTCAGCTTCTCCCAGTTCTGCCAGTGTATGCGTTGTGATGCTACAGCTTCTCCTATCTTCTGCCCCAAATTCAGTATTTGAACAGTGACTGTAGCTCACAACTGTGCCAACAAGATGTGATGAAGCAAGTTGTAATTTCCCCCCCACATCTGCTCCATTCACATGCATGAGATGAATGATACAGGTAAGGGGAACAAACCTTGCCCCTCTCCTCTTCTCCCCTGCCTTACTTTGCTGTGTTCAAGCTGTTTTTCCTCTAGCCCTGCTCACTTGGCTGGAAGAAACACAACAATGCAGGGTAGGAGGCATTACTCTATGCATGAGAAAAGAAAATATAGACTCTCTCCTGTTTCATAAGTGGATAGATAAATGAATGCTCGAGACTGTTCCGTGACATCTAGTTGACATAACTGTATAGCCTCTTTGGAGTTGAGATTGTAAGAAGCTGCCAAGTACAGTGTGTGTGACATGTTTGTAATGACTCCAGTTCAGTAATACTTACTACTGGTAATAATTTTGTTTCTATACTGCTCATTAGCCAAATCTCTCTAGGTGGTCTACAGAAAACCTCTCACATTGCACCTTTGTCATTAATTGTTCTAAAAACTGGAATTATCTCATGCTTTCAGGGCTTTAGCTTTTTGTCCTATAGTCCTTCTGGTCTGTGATGTCTTTAGTCCAGTTCAAAATAACACACTGTTCAGAAAAGAAATCACTCAAAACCAAATTGATACCAATCAACTCACATAATAAATGTATACACATTGTAAAAGTTTAGGCTACTCTAAAGGGATTTTTAAACTTCATGGTAAAATGCTTTTCTGTGCACCTTAGCAAAAGTCATTTTCATCCATGAGTAGGCCTAAGAATATACCTTGCTGCTTTTCTCCAAGACTGTTAGCATTAAAGTTCACTATGTTCTGCTTTCTGATGATGTGGGTGGCAGCTTGAACTTGGCAAAGGACAACAAGGTTGATCCCTGGATTAAAAGCAAGGATCTGGGAGGACAGGTCAAACCCACTTAAATTTGCAGAGTTGATGGAGGAGAGAGTTAAGCCAGAAAGGCTTAGATTAGATTGTTGTTACCTATAATGGCTTTTGCTTTCAGCTTTGCTTTGAGGCTAGCTGTGCAGTCTCTTGAGAATTTCTTATAATCAGCCTCTGATTGGAGCAAAAGTTCTACAGTCTAAACTCCAAGAGGGTTACTGAAACAAAGCAGGGGATTCCAAGGAATATGCTATATGTTGGAAATGGAAAACCTATATTGTTTTGACTGAACTATATATTTTTAAATGGAACTACAGTGCTCATCTCCTTCATGGATCACTGCCTTGTCGTGGCGAAGGGGCTTGCGTAGCTCAATGAAGCTATGAGCTATGCCGTGCAGGGCCACCCAAGACGGACAGGTCATAGCAGAGAGCTCTGACAAAATGTGATCCACTGGAGAAGGAAATGGCAACCCACTCCAGTATCTTTGCCATGAAAACCCCATGGACAGTACCAAAAGGCAAAAATACATAACACCAGAGGATGAGCCCCTCAGGTTGGAAGGTGTCCAGTATGCTACTGGGGAAGAGCAGAGGGCTAGTACTAGTAGCACCAGAAAGAATGAAGTGACTGGGTCAAAGCTGAAAGTACACTCAGTTACAGATGTATCTGGTGGTGAAAGGAGAGTCCAATGCTGCAAAGATCTATACTCCATAGGAACCTGAAATGTATTGATCCATGAATCAAGGCAAGCTGGACATGATCAAACAAGAGATGACAAGACTGAACATCGACATCTTAGGAATCAGTGAACTAAAATGGACAGGAATGGGTGAATTTAATTCAGATGACCATCAGGTATACTACTGCGGGCAAGAACCCCTCAGAAGAAATGGAGTAGCCTTCATAGTCAATAAAAGAGTAGGAAAAGCAGTACTGGGATACAGCCTCCAAAATGACAGAATGATCTCAGTTCGAATCCAAGGAAAACCATTCAACATCACAATAGTCCAAGTCTATGCCCCAACCACTGGTGCTGAAGAGGCTGAAGCTAACCAGTTCTGTGAAGGCCTACAACACCTTCTATAATTAACTCCAAAAAATGATGTCCTTATCATCATGGGGGATTGGAATGCTAAAGTAGGAAGCCAAAAGATAACTGGAATAACAGGCAAGTTTGGCCTTGGAGTACAAAACGAAGCAGGGCACAGGCTGGTAGAATTCTGTCAAGAGAATTCAATGGTCATAGCAAACACTCTTTTCCAACAACCCAAGAGACGACTCTACACATGGACATCACCAGACAGTCAACACAGAAATCAGATTGACTATGTGCTCTGCAGCCAAAGATGGAAAAGCTCTATACAGTCAGTAAAAACTAGACCAGGAGCTGACTGTGGCTCAGATCACGAGCTTCTGGTTGCAAAATTTAGGCTTAAATTGAAGAAAGTAGGGAAAAGCACTAGGCCACTTAGGTATGACCTAAATCATATCCCTGATGAATATACAGTAGATGTGACAAATAGATTTAAGGAATTAGATCTGACAGACAGAGTGCCTGAAGAACTATGGATGGAGGTTCGCAACATTGTACAAGAGGTAGCAACTAAAGCCATCCCAAAGAAGAAGAAATGCAAGAAAGCAAAATGGCTGTCTGAGGAAGCTTTACAAATACTTGAAGAAAGGGAAGCAAAAGGCAAGGGAGAAAGAGAAAGATACACCCAATTGAATGCAGAATTCCAGAGAATAGCTAGAAGAGATAAGAATGCCTTCTTAAATGAACAGTGCAAAGAAATAGAAGAAAACAATGGAATAGGGAGGACCAGAGATCTCTTCAAGAAAATTGGAGATATGAAGGGAACATTTCATGCAAAGATGGGCATGATAAAGGACGAAAATGGCAGGGACCTAACAGAGGCAGAAGAGATTAAGAAGAGGTGGCAAGATTACACAGAAGAACTATACAAGAAAGAGCTTAACGTTCCTGATAACCACGATGAGGTGGTCACTGACCTCGAGCCAGACATCCTGGAATGTGAAGTCAACTGGGCCTTAGGAAGTCTGAGCAAAAACAAAGCTAGTGGAGGTGACACTATTCCAGCTGAGCTATTCAAAAACTTAAAAGACGATGCAGTAAAAGTGCTGCACTCAATATGCCAGCAAATTTGGAAAACTCAGCAGTGGCCACAGAATTGGAAAAGGTAAGTTTACATTCCAATGCCAAAGAAGGGCAATGCCAAAGAATGTTCAAACTACCGCACCATTGCACTCATTTCACATGCTAGCAAAGTTATGCTCAAAATCCTACAAGCTAGGCTCCAGCAGTATGTATGTATGTATGTATGTATGTATGTATTTATTTATTTAAAACATTTCTGTGCTGCCCCCATCGCAACAAAGCCTCAGGGCGGCTCACAAAGAATACATAAAAACATACATAAATAATAATATACCAATTTAAAAAAAGTATGTGGACCAAGAACTACCAAAAGTAGAGGCAGGATTTCGAAGAGGGAGAGGAACTAGAGATCAAATTGCCAACATACGCTGGATCATGGAGAAAGCTAGGGAGTTCCAGAAAAACATCTACTTCTGCTTCGTTGACTATGCTAAAGCCTTTAATTGTGTGGATCACAACAAATAGTGGCAAGTTCTTAGAGAGATGGGAGTCCCAGACCATCTTATTTGTCTCTTGAGAAACCTGTATGCAGATCAAGAAGCAACAGTGAGAACTGGACATAGAACTACCGAATGATTCAAAATTGAGGAAGGAGTACGGCAAGGCTGTATATTGTCACCCTGCCTATTTAACTTATATGCAGAGCACATCATGAGAAAGGTGGGGCTAGATGAATCACCAGTTGGAATTAAGATTGCTGGGAGAAATATCAACAACCTCAGATATGCAGATGATACCACTCTCATGGCAGAAAGTGAAGAAGAACTAAAGAGCCTCTTGATGTGGGTGAAGGAGGAGAGTGCAAAAGTTGGCCTGAAACCCAACATTAAGAAAACTAAGATCATGGCATCCGGTCCTCTCACTTTCTGGCAAATAGATGGGGAAGAAATGGAGGCAGTGACAGATTTCATTTTCCTGGGCTCCAAGATCACCACAGACGGGGACTGCAGCCAAGAAATTCAAAGACGCTTGCTCCTGGGGAGGAAAGCTATGGCAAATTCTAGACAGCATACTAAAAAGCAGAGACATCACCCTGCCAACAAAAGTGCGTATAGTCAAGGCTGTGGTTTTCCCTGTTGCATTGTATGGCTGTGAAAGTTGGACCATATGGAAGGCTGAGCGCCAAAGGATTGAGGCCTTTGAATTGTGGTGCTGGAGGAGACTCCTGCGAGTCCCTTGGACCGCTAGGCGATGAAACTGGTCAGTCCTAGAGGAGATGAACCCTGACTGCTCTTTAGAAGGCCAGATTCTGAAGATGAAACGCAAATACTTCGGCCACCTAATGAGAAGGAAGGACTCCCTGGAGAAGAGCCTAATGCTGGGAACAACAGATGGCAAAAGAAGAAGGGGATGGCAGAGAATGAGGTGGCTAGATGGAGTCACAGAAGCAGTTGGAGTGAGCTTAAGTGGACTCCGGGGGATGGTGGAGGACAGGAAGGCCTGGAGGATTGTTGTCCATGGGGTCGCGATGGGTCGGACACGACTTCGCAACTAACAACAACAGTACTCATCTTTGCATTACATGCTTGACACAGGTTGATCTAAACTTCTACCCTAAAATCCAAGGCTACAATGAAAAGTTTGGATCCAGACTTAATTACACTTAGATAAGACCCAATGAAATTAATAGGATTTAAGTTAGGCCTGGTTAAGGCTTGTATCTAATATTAAACCTGCTCAAAATATCCCCACTCAAATAAATGAGATGTAAATATTGGATACAATCTAATTCTAGATTCAGCCTAAAATTTGCTGTTTGATTCTGATCCTGAAAGATTTTGGTTGCAAAACATGTTTGACATCTGTTTTAGTGTACAGAGAAGAAAAAAAAAACCATGCTATTCGGGGTAGGGGTGAAGTGGGAAGTAATGCATGCATATGAATACTATGAGACAGAAACTGCAAAATAGACATCCTGTTCCCTAATCCTGCCTACTCAAAGCATAACAGATCGCTCTCTAGCGATTGCTTTGGATTTACTAACAGGGCTCAAAAATCACTTGAATTCTTTATTCAAACAATATGGTTGGAGTTGCCAGTTTCCCAGGGGCACCAGCTACTTCATGAGCTCTTACATGAAGCAAGCAACTGAGTGCATTACAAAATTGTGCTGGAAAGTTGACTGTTTATTCTGTCAAGTGTTGCCAATATCCACAAGGCTGTTCAAGAGAAATGAAAACTCACATCCTGTTCTTAAACCCATATATATGAAAGTACATCTCAGTCATGCCAAATAAGTGAGCCTAGTGTTGCTGCCAAAGGCGCTTTCGGACTTGCCCATGTTCTAGAACAGGGGTGAGCAGAAGGTAGATTGAGATCTACTGGTAGGTCTCTGGGTAATTTGCTATAGATTAGTAAGGCTTTCTGATTCCCAAATGTTCAAAACTACTTTTTCACTTAAATTAGGTTGCTAATATGAAGAAAGCTTGGAATATTCAGGAAAGTGCTGTGAGCTTAAATCAGCCTGGCTATATTGAAAAGACATTTGTGGGTTCAGGATGTAATCAGTGGCATCCTTTTGAAGTTTATGTCTCTTGAACCTGGCCATGGCTGGTGGATCTTAGGATTCTAGAACAAAAAAAAAAGGATAAAACAAGCCTGAAGTCCACTCACTCCTGTTATAAGAATGTTATTGGGAAAACATACTACTGTATAACTCTGCCAATGAATAGTGTTGGCTCCAGGAAAAACTAACATAAGTAAGTCTCTGCTACTGCTTTCTACTGTTCCGCAGCTGACTAACTCTTAACTACTTGGCAGCTCAAAGACAAACACAAGCAGACTGGAGGCAATGTAGGAGCCATGGAGGAACTGGAGAATGCTTTTAGCTTAGCAGAAGAGTCTTGTCCAGGAATTTCTGACAAACTGATTGCACACATGGTGGAGCGAGTGCAAAGGTGAGTGCTGTTAACTTGACCAAAAGTAATTTGGTGTGGGGGAATGGCTGGGGAAGTACAGTAGAAACCAATTGTACATCCCTCCTCGGTGCATGTTCCCTTTGTAATACTGCACTTTGTTTGGGCCCAAGATAATACCATATGCTCTAAACCTCACTGTCTCACAAGTCAGCTGTCTGGTACTCAGGTAGAAAAGTGGAATCTAAATTGACACTGGCAAGTGAATGCAGATCCAGCAAGTGACCCTTAACCCAAGCCAATTAGTTCTGGTTAACTACAATCTATTCATGTTTGGCGAAAGTCATCACTTTAAATTGTTTTGAAAATGACAGTGAGAGTTCACTACGAAACAACCTGGTAAATTTCCTTTGTTCTCTCTCAGGTTCTCACACAGCAGGAACCACCTAACTTCAGCACGCTGAGGAGTTTGCCCTTTCTACTAGTGGGTGACTTTTCCCCCCAGCTCCATAGGAATTGCATCTTGAATCCATCACCATCTGCTGTTGGATGTTAACATTGTGCTATGGATTCCCAGACATTTCAGAGCCTTTGTGTGTGTGTTTCATGACCACCTAGTATGGGATTTGCAATACACATGATTATGGATTATTTTGCAAAGCCCAAGGAGTGTAATTTTTACAGTGTATTTCATGAAGGTTTTTCATTATATCCAATTTTTCTCAGGTCAGTCCTTGTTTCAACGCAAAATCCTGACTGCTGGAAAAATGGAAATCCTTAGGCAAATACATTCCCAAAGGGAAGTGGGACTGTGATAGCTTCCTGCTCTGATCAAAGGCAGTGTTTGAGCAGCTGATCAGCAAGAAGGGGCTATCACCATCCAGTGAGATGGTCATATATGCTGGTGCTACACGACAGTTTTGTTTCAGGTTTCTCCTCAGCTAATAGAAGAAGAAGATTGGGCTAGCAGTTGCTGAGAAAAGTGAATCTTGCCTCCTTTCTACTGGCCCCTTTTTGAGGTAGGTTTGACTACTGCTGTATTATATACTAATCCATGTTTCATTCACTAGAGTGTGGTGCAGATGTGCTCCTACTCAGTCAAAGCCTTTTGCTTCTACTTAGTATCTTGAGTATAAACACTTGCATACCAAGTTCAAATATTCTGGCAGAGTATTATGTACTTGTTACAGAGGGGAAGGAAGCTAAATGCTTTATTACTTCTACAGCTTAGAGACAGGGTAAGGATCTAACCAAAGTCTGCAAACTTTGTAAAGACTTGTTATTCCATGATATTTGGCTAAGATTTTCAGTTAAACTGAAATATGTGTGGTGCCAACAGCTAGAGAAAGTAATAGCTGACATGCTCAAAACATTGCCTGTGTCTCTCAACTTTTTTACCACATTTTGGACTTTTACTTATGTCAAAATTGCTCATGAACATTATCTCTGATTCTGACTGAGAAGTACATATCTGAAGCATCTGAGATGCCAGCTAGATCTTCCTCTGGAGCAGTAAATGTGTAGACTCATTTCCTAAACGTGTAGATTCAGTGGTATGGATGTCTTCCTTTGAGAAAGACATCTTAAAAGCTGCAGCTGCTGCTTTTATGACTTGCTTATGGACAGCTGAGTAAAGAATATGGATAGGAAGTTAAAGAATCCATTTGCCTTTACTGTTGTCCTTCAGGTCTGCTTACAAAGCAGATGGGAACATTAGATAAAGGGAAAACAAGAAGCTGCTACTTTGTGCTATTTATAAAAGGTACCTTGCATTAGCTCACACAATGTCACCAGAATGCTCTTAAAGGTTTCTCCAGTATTCAAAGCAACAATGTCTTAGTTCTCATATGAGCAATGAGGGATCTGCCACTTCCAATAAAATTAACTTGTCAAGTAAAAGCTATCTGTGTGTTTATTTATACATGAACACAAGTACTAACACAAAATTATATTATTGTATCACTCTCCCAAGAGTGATCTGTTATATTTGCTCAGGACATGACCTGGTTTAACTTGTAGGTCAGTCATGGCGCACTGGTGGCCTCAAGTCAGATGGCAACGAGTGCAATCTGATCTCATCAGACTTGTGAGCAAGGAAAAAGCAACCAATCATGGGAATAAGACAGACTATGCATCTAAAAGGAGAGAGCATGACTACATCTGAGGGAGCGGAAGCCTTTTTATATGACTGTTCACAAAAGCATATGAGCTGTTTAAGTTATCACAGACTACCTACCGAGTCAAAAATAGCTATCTACAATGGTTTATTTCCAAAAACAGACACTAATAAATACACACTTCTTATTATAAGAGAGATATAACCTTTAGCACTTTGCAGCTTATCTGTGATACTGTCAGACAAAAAGCATGAAATCTTCCCTTTGCCCTCTAATGTAGGAATCCAAATCCAACACCATCCCCTTCTACCTAGAAATCTGCTCTAGCTCTATAGAACTTTTTCATCATTTCTGAGAGTAATGAAAAGACCTGTATCCATATCACACCTCCTTCCATACACCATGCTTCAAAATACACAGTTTATTGTTTCAGACGGTTTCCTTTAAGCACACTACCTTACCACCACATTGTTTCTCAATATTTTATCACATAAATAACCTTTGATTAAAGTTATCCATCTTCAAACCAGCAAACTACTTTCCACTGCTATCTAAGGGCAACAAAAATGTTGAACTGTGCCATGGAAGAAGCATAAAGCCAGGGCAATTTTCACAGGCTCATTAAAACCCCTCCCATGCTGAATAGGCTCTGCCTCCATGACCTAAGACAATGGTACTAAACTGTGGGAGAAACTATTGTGAAAGGGATTTCAGATATTCCTATCTTGAAGTTGTATAGGAACTTCAAGCCAACTTAATTACTAAATACGAGCTTTTAAAGATGTGTCTGCACAAATTCTTACACTATACCTGACTGTAGAATGGCCCTGTCCTGTCACTATTTAGTTTCCCCATCTTAATTTCCCTGTCTCAAAGTATCATTAATGAGGTAGTAACCCTTCCACAAGTTAATAATGCCTAAACACTGTACCTATGATTGCTGCTCCAAGCTTTAATATGTTGACCATACAATGATGCAGCAACACATTTTTACTTATGCTGAGAAGAACAGTACATGGTTATTTCTGAAACTACCTTTCCTGCCCCATCAAGTTGCCTATGCGTATATTCAGAACTTTTTTAAAAAGGCTAGCCAGGGCAAGTGCTGCTCAGAAGCTCAGGAGAAGCATACATTTACAGGAAACCTGTGGAAAGCAGTAGCAGGACAGCACACAAAACTCTAACTGCAACAGGGGCAATAGTCCAGATGCACTGAACCGACAGCTTTGCATCTGTCAGACTTGTATATGGACCCTAAACCTAAGGAATTTTGCTTTCCCATGCCCCACTCCCTCTGTGCAAGCAAGCCCCTCTGATGTCAGTTTTGTTTGTTTTGGGCAAGTATGAAGAGTAAAGTTGCTACTTGGCAATATTCTTGAGCATTTTGTTCTACAGCACATAGACATTCCATCTTACTAATAGTATGAACACAGCTTGCAGCATGTGTGGTTGGAAGGCTGAAAGAACATATCGCACAAAGATTACTTAGCCAGACTGAGCATTAACAAGTTCTGAGACACCATTTGAGACCCAGAAGGTTTAAGATCAGCCAAACTCCACCAACAGTTGCTATTCATGTAAGTTTCCATGAACTGACTTCTCCAGAGGCTTTGTTGTCACTTTTTAGTGCTTTTCACACTGCAGCAAAATTCAATATATTTCAGGAAGCAGCAAATTTGGCCCCAGCAGGTGAGAGATGGCATCCTTTTTTTACTACTATCAAGCTCAGCCTCCTGTTCCCTTTCCCCTTTGCTGCAAACAATTAACTTACAACAGAGACCCAGCTCTGCTTGTTTCAGTTTGTGATCTTGTCCTTTTCATCCTTTGAGATGAGGAGGCTGGATCTCCCAGGTGAACTTGTAGCTCTCTTTATCACTTCCATCCACCTATCATGTGAGAAAAAGGACAACATGCAAGACATTAACTAGATACCCATTTTAGCCACATCCATCCTTCTTTAGCTACAGCTGGTTTTGGCAGAAATATTAAAATTTCATATTGCATTTTACATTTCCAGTAAGATTAACATTTTGGCTGACTTTTAAAATGTATTTTATTGAAAGAAGAACCACAATATCCCATCTACCACATAATTCTGTAAGAATTATGTCTGTACAATCATGCTAAGTTTGTTACTGTTATGCAGGAGAAGGGTAAAAGTGGTAGTTAATACCCTTCAGTTACCCTGTCTACCCTAAGTATATCAACCTAAAAGGGGTCACAGAACAAAAACAATGTTCTACAAGGAATTAAAAATGCCTTGATTTTCCTGTTGCTACTACATTCTATGCCTACAGAAACAAAAGGATTTTTAAACAATTTATTTCGGCTTTAAACTAGTCTCTTCATACATTGTAAGCAGTGATGTCTTTCAAATCATTTCCAACTCTCTTAAAAAGTAATGGATCTCTCTAGCCTAGCAAAACCGATTTTATTTGCTTGTGTTATCACATATGGGGATTGAAATATCTTACTGTCATATATTGTTTCCACTAGGAAAAACGGATGATGATGATAAAAACTATTGTCATGCCATTCCAATCTTTCTAGCTTTCTCTCCAGGCTAGAAAGATCTCACACCTTTAGATTAAGACAGCATCTCTGAGGTGGTTGCAAACTTCACTAAACATACAACTCTGTCTGAACTATTTTTGCACTAAGGTTTTGCACTACTTGGTTTCAGACAGATTTTGAACGCAGCAGAATCCACTGGCAACTTTTATCAGTTAATCTTGGAAGAGTGATAGAAAGCCTCTCCAGCAGGTTCTTCACTGTGCTAGAACAGTGATAGAAAGCATCTGTGTAAGAGCAACTTTGAAATGTGATTTTCTAAGTTGGGACTAGGAAGTATGTTTACCTCTCAAAGGTGTACTTGCTTTCTGCCCTGAAGAAATATACATGAGACTTAAACTGCAATTTGAAGACATAATCCTTCTGAATGCCATCTGCCTCCACAGGAATGCTGACTGTGTAACCAAGGAGTGGTAAACTGGCCAGTGGATAATCATCCTAGAAAACAACCAAGTTTATTACTTATTTAGTGTATGTTCATACCTCCATTAACAAAAGTTTCCACAATATTTTAAAAGTTACAAATAGCAAACATATCTTTTAAAAGTTACTACACAACACAGAATTTACTTTATATTTTACGTTAGTAATGTATTAAGAAAAAACAGCCAGCACACAGATGCCAAATACTGATAACTAGATAGCCTAACTAAAGCCATGACTGTAAAGCCCCAGGCTTCACCGGACTGGCCCTGTTCATTTCAAATGCTATTTTCCCCAACTTGATGTCCTTTCTTTAAGAATCGGCCTGCTAGCAATTACAGAAAGCCTGCTGTTCATTTTATAATCAGTCCATTTTATGCTGTGGACTGGCAGTGCTAAAAACCCTTAAGGCAGTGAAAAATTATACCTGCTAACTTAACCCTGCCATACCAGAGGGCTTTAATATAAATTAATGTAAGAGCCAGGATGCACTCACAAGACAGATGCAAATATTGTTTCTTATTCCTGTGTGTGCCTAATACCATTCTGGTTGTGCCATACCCATCTTACCTGATGTGTTTTGTAGAAGAACAGACAGAAGTTTGTGAAAACAACCCACAGCTTCTGCCAACCATTACTGTTTTTGAATTTCCTCAGAAGGTATCCTGATAACTGATTCTACATGGACGGAGAAAGATAGCATGAGAAGTTGTTATCAGCAGTCATTCTCCTTAACAGTGCAGCAAATGATCTACTGGTGTTGTATATTTGAAAACAGATTGCTGTCCCTAGGCTGTGATTCTCTAAGTCGGGGATTAGGAACCTGTGGCCCTCCAGCTGTTGTTGGACTATAACTCCGCTCACCACTTGATATTCTGGATAGGGTTGATCGGAGTTGCAGTCACATGTTCACCACCACAGCTCTAAAAAAATTGAGGAACAGCACATAAACATTTGTTTCAGAGCCTCTTTGCACGTCTATATATTCTGTACAATAAGAGCAAAAATTATGTTTCTATGGTGAAATTTCTTTTTACCAGTTCATTAAAGTACAGTATTTTATACTGTACTTCAAAAGTTCCATAATTCTCAGAAAGTGCATCAATTACTAATATTGATGTGGTTTATAAATTTAATAAATTAATAATATTAGGGATGGGTAAATTAGTGGCAGGCAAACCTGTTGGGATTCTCCAAACATCATCTAACAGTTCTATCTCATGTTCAATTTCTATTTACATTTTAGATTTTTCCTTGCATTGTGTTAATGGGAAAACTGCAAATCAAGCTGTAATCACATGTGAAATCTAAGTAGATTTCTTCTATAGACTAAAGTGAGGCTGATTCAGTAAATGGGATAAATTTGTGCAAACCAGGAAAATTGTACGAATTGAACATTAGCACATTTGGCAATCTGAATATTTTCAGCAGACATGTGCTTGTTGCAAATCTTATTTGGGGCTTTAAACAGGGTTCACAAGTTTTGCAAATAAAAATGAAATTCTCATACACCTCTAGCTAACATGGCAATCATGTGGTATGTGTTTGCCCTCTTGGACATTTTTGGAGATAGAATTAGTGACTTAGCAAAACAAATCTAACACCTCTTTCATGATGACATCACTTTGAACCTTTTATTCTCTTCTTCTTCAACATATTTGTTGGGATTCTGTTCTTTCTACCACAAAAGTACAACTCTGGAATGCTCAACCAGCATTGTGTTGGGATAGGTTTTTTTAATCACAGGAACTAGCAATGCAACCTTACCCCTCTTAATTGTTTTTAAGTTATTTAAGATTCTTTTCAATATGGAATTCATACTCATCCCAGTTTTTATCCACTAGAACAAGGATGACTTCTTTCCCTCCCCATCCACCTCTATTGTCCAGATAGACCATTTCACTGCTTCCTCTGGCTCAAGACTTATGGAACTATTACATAAAGGAAAAAATGTTGTTTAAGTCATGATTTGTTGGAATGTACAGAAAGGCTCTAAAGGAGCCCTCTCCTGGTTATCCCAAGAACTAATTTAATATCCAAACTATGGGTATTAAATGGCTACGTATGATACATATTCTTTATTCACCCTTTTCACAGAGTATCAACCTTCCTTGTAACTGCATGCATTCTACATTTCCATCCTGGCTAGGCCATATTGGTAATGGATGCAGTTCCTCCCACCACAAATTATTCATCACACTCTTAACTCCCACCTGAGCCCTGCTGTGAAAAGAGCACGGACTTAAATACATTGGTTAGTTAAATATTTTTCCCAGTTCATTCCCTGATCCACACAACATGCTAACAACTAGTGAGCAACACGGAGAACCTGAATTTTGTTAAAGACACAATGCAAGTGAAAGCAGACGATGTGAAAAAGAAAGGCACAGGTTAGGGACAACTAGGAGAAAGCAAAGCTCTGCAGAATACACAACAGCAATACCACATTTAAGGTAACATACTAGTACACTGAGGTCTATGCACATGAGATTCTCTGTGATCAAATCTATGGGGTAAATTAAACCCATTTAAACAATAAGAAATGGCATTGTGTATTCAAGATCATTGCCTATTTGTATGATAACCAAAGCAATTCACTGGACTGATTTTCACATTGTTTTTATTACATTGCAATTATATGCCACCTTTTTTCCCTCTTGTGAGGAATTCAAAGCAGCTTATATAGCTCCATTTTGTCCTCACAGCAACTCTGTGAGGTAGGTTGGGCTGAGAGCCTATGACTGGCCCAAAATCACCCAGTGAACTTCATGGCTGAGTGGAGCCTAGGACCTGGATCTTGCAGGTTGCCAGTGCAACGCCACCCCACGCCAGTTCTCCAACTTAAAGAAGAGACTTAGTCAATTGCCTTAGTGCTTCAGATCCTTGTTTCTACGAACTACAGCTAGGTTTAAGAGTTATAATGGGGATTTTACAAACAGAAAGTGATGATGCACATAAGTCCTCCTATCAACACTGAGAGTGGTAGAAGCAGCTTTACCTGAATCATGCACAGATAGTCAGACAGGGATAGGCTCTGGTTTCGGTACCAGCAAACATGGGTGATAGTGTTGGGCCGTTGACTCTGGCCCAGCAAATAGCGAGGAGGAAGCTCTGGAGAAACAGCAAGAGAGCAGAGAACTGAGCAGAGAGGGTGCAGGGCAGAGAAAGACAGAAAAAGAGTTTTAGATCAAGAAAGGGCAGTATTTGAAAAAGCCTGTTAAAAGGAATAGTATGAAAAACAAAAAGAAGAATGAGAGAAAGGCTGGGGGGAGATATGGAGGTGCCATAAGGTTCACAGTTTGTAGGCCCTAAGATGAGCAGCATAAGTGGGCACGGTACTTTGTGCAGAAAGCAGGAAGATTAACAATTTCCCAAAGACAGGAGTAGGTAATCTTGGAGGAAGAATTAGCCAGTGGACAAGATTACAGAAGTTTGATTACAGCCCAAAAGTTGGTTTCTACTATCAGTTTTTGCTGTGAAATGCTTCATTTAATGGCTCGATATTAATTTATTTTGCTGCATTTTTGCTGAAGGAATCTCCCTGAAACAGTGAAGTCCAGGCAAGTGGGAAAATATCACTTCATAGAAGCACCACTCAAAACAGCCTCACTGGGGATTTTTTGCTGCTTTTGAGGATGCACAAGAGCATAATCAGCAGTGAAAGAGAAAAGGATGAAAATAAAAAGAGGCATTACTTCTACAGTACTTTTTTTGGTAAACTCTTTTCCTTATAATTTCTCTCTCATTTAGCTCAATGAAATTTAGGCATGTAGTCTCAACTGTTAGGTTAACTGTGTGCCTCAAGTCCTAGAATGAAGAAATGCAGAGTTCTTTGTTAAAGTGTTAAAGATTGGAATGTAAATTGGAGGGTAGCTGTCTCTTTGTTAACTCAGCCAGTGGATCACACTTTCATCTGTCATGTGATCAGTTTGTATCACCCTGATAAAGGCTATGGTGGTAACTTATACATTCTAGAGAACTAACAAAGCCATAGTTACCCTGGTTCCCCGAAAATAAGACCTAACCAGAAAATAAGCCCTAGCATGATTTTTCAGGATGTTCGTAATATAAGCCATGCCCCAAAAATAAGCCCCAGTTAAGATCATTAGCCAGACGGATGCATTTAGTACATCCGTTGCAACACAATTCAGGGTTTGGAAAGTCATGATGATGTTCCAGAAGAAGATGACATGGCTGTATTTGAATAAATGTAGATTTTGTACATGAATAAATGAATAAATATAGCTTGCTGAGCTACTGAAAATAAGACATCACCTGAAAATAAGCCCCAGCGTGTCTTTTGGAGCGAAAATTAATATAAGAGCCGGCCTTATTTTTGGGGAAACACAGTATATGGATTAAGGGCCTACATTTAGGTTCAATAACCCCTGAGTGAATATAGCTATCTTCTCCAAAATGTATGTATCCCATAAAAATCACACCATTGGCCTTTCCTTTCAAAGCCAATACATACAGTAATTTGGAAAACACCCATGAATCACAGATCGATGATTATTTTAGTCTGGGAACTGTACGATAATCCTATAAGCAGCAGATTTCATCCTGAAAAGGTTCTTATAATCTCCTGCAGGACATATATTTTAAATCAGACTCTGCCTGTCTCCCTAGAAAGCCTATGAAGAAAAGGTTTAAAATTAGCAATTACCATGGCAGGAGAAGGTTGCAAAAACCAGACAGGAGCCACAATACTTGACATTCCCTACCCAGCTGTACATGTGTGCAATCTTTTTGAAAGGCAGTGGCAGGTTATAATGTTATATTCCCCAAAATGCCACTGTACAAATGCAACTCTGAAGCACGTAACTTCTCTTCTAAGACAATCTGGGGACAGCAAAAGTATATACAACATCATGCAAACCCAGGCTTTGATAGTCCAAGCACAAGCCGTAAGATGTGCAGAAACAGTGCCTGAAAACCAGAGATTTTTAGGTAATCATTTTTGGCTTTTCTCTTTTTAATCTTCTTCCCTCAAAGCACCCCTTTGTTAAGGACATGATGGAAGCATGCACAAACACACACAAAGTACACATTCGAACATCTGGTAGCCACTCATTCATCATGGAAAATCTTGAAAGCAATGAAGGGATGGTGGTTAAAACAGAGTGCAGAGAGAGCAGCGACCAGGACAAAGTGGTAAGTGAAAGTGGTGTGTGCGCTGCTGCTGGGTACCTCGACGGCCACACTGTGATCGGTCATGGAGACACTGGTGTTGCGGTACCAGCAGACATGCATGGTAGTGTTGGCACGGTGGTGACTCTGCCTGTCCAGGGAGCTACGAGAGGAATGTATGTCTTCTTCGGACTCCTGTTCTAGAGAAACCTCATCTGAGGATCCTGAGGGAGGAGAAGGGAGCAGACATTTAACAGACTATGGTACATGGATAGTGATAAGCGGCAAGGACCCAAAACTATATTAGCATCTTCCTCTAATAAAAGGAAGTTATTCTGCTTCTGGCATCCATGTCCTTGAAAATCCAAATTTTCTTGTAGGATATGACACTTCATAGCCATTACATAGGGAAAAAACATACTGTAATATATGTAAGTACAAAATGTTTGATTGAAAGCATCCTAACTGGATCTGCTTTGTAGTGAGGGAGGTGGCATCTACTGGAATGCAATAGGTTGCTTCAGTGGCCATGGGAGAGACCCAATAGGTAAGGAACATTCTCAGGAAATCACAAGGTATGGAAATCTATTCAACAATTTCCCTACTTTCCCATGTAAAGGGTGGAAAAGGAAGCTCACACACAGCCAATTCCAGAATTATTACTAACTGCTAGAGGTTCTTATTTGCCAAGCCTGCAGTATCCAGAGCATCAGGAAGAAGTATTGAAGCTTGTTTAGTTAAAATGCTTGTGGGTTACATAATTTTTACTACTTCCATTTCAGGGATGCATGCAGAGCACACCACTAACCCAAGAGTCAAAAAGCTCAACTGACATGATGTTACTCACTGTTAGAACGACTGCACAGAGAATTTTCTAGAAACATGTCAGATTTCTCAGTGGTTTTCTTGGACATTTCAATTGCCATATTTAGATCTTCCATCCATTTCCCCATTTCCAGACGAGTGCTGTAAAACAGAGGACTGATGGCTGAGAACAATGTTTTTGGAGCTCGGTCCCAATACAGAAGGAAATGCACTGCTGATCAACACTTGCTTCCTATTATTCCCAGTGGAATAATAAAGTTTTCTGTTAAAGTCTGCATTTTGGCAACTGGGGGGCTCATCTCAACAACTTTATATTACACCCAGATTCAAGCATGAACAACAACATTATCAAGATTGTTTCCCATTTTTCCTGAAAAATCTGAAGTTACATTGGGAAAAGAAAACACAGAAGTGCACATTAGTGTCTCTCAATCAGGTTGCAGGATGCAGATATCTTTTCCTGGTTGTTCTTGGCTAGAAGCACTACTCCAGGCAGAGTATAGGAAAAAGAAGGAGGCAGCTTTGGAGTAGCATGATCCCCCATCCTTCCTTTCTTAGCTTGAAGTAAAAGTGGAGTGGTGCCTGCATGTACACAAACATTCAGTGTCATCAAAAGATCTGTTTTACCACCTGTTGTTATTTCTGCCTTTTCATAAGTGAGTACCAGAAAAGGACTTACCTTGCTGCCACTACTATGGTTTTTTGAGCTGAATAGATTGTGAAGCAATGAGGGACAGACCATTCATTTTCACTTTCTTCCACCTACAACAAGAGAGGTGCATGATCACACTGTGAGCACAGTATACATCTATGCTGTGAAAGAAAAGAAAGACTTTGGTGAATTCACATCTATTTCACTTCTAGTGGGAAAACTATCAGCTACAATTACACTGCTGCTTCAGCAATTGGTAACTGCACATTAGCTGAAGCACACTCACTAGCAACTTACTCACCGGAGGATCCAGGACAATCAACTGAAAATCAAACACAGACATACAAAAAGTTCCATTAAAGAGTGAGAGGGAATGCAATGCCTTGGTGTGGAACACCACACAGCACCTCCAACTACCAAACAATAACACCACAAATATAAGTTCTGATTTCTTTTTCTCAACTACTCCAGTGCCAGTAAACGTACAGTATTTACTGTTCCAACTCTCATGATCTAGGCAAGATGCTTATGTATAGAAATGTCTGAAGAAAAACTTTAGAACCACCAGGAACACCCAATTAACAAAGAGTCTTTGAAAGTTCAATATAGAAAGTTGAAGTTCAAATTATGGTGACACTATTTTAATGCTTGGCTTCTATGCGAATAAACTCTTACCAGCATCCCATGTAGAGGAAGATGACCATGAATTTTGAATTGGTTGGTACCAGTGACTCCTTTGCTTGTATACAGCAACATATCTGAAAACTGAAGCATGGAAAGATTTTTGCTAAATTGAAGTATACCTTTTAGGAAAAGAAACCCTTCTCTCTTGTCATGGTCACAATCACTTTATTTATATCCCACTTTTTGGTACACACTGCACTCAAACTGGTTCCCAACAAAAGCAAGACAACCCCCCTCCCGCTCCACATACAAAAAACATAAGCCATCATTCACTATGCACTGTCTCCATATAAAACACATTTATTTATTTATACTCTATCTGTTTTACTTCACTAATTTAGCTTAGTATTAACAATGGTTTTTAAAAATCAACTTCACTCCAATTAATAAATCAGGATTTTGCTATTATGATTTCCCACTGTAATAGCATTTTTTTTTTCATTTAAACAGCAATTTTCAACCTTGTATTTAATTCACACAGGATCACAGAAAATACTTAAGCTTTTCTGTGCATAGTTAAGACCAAAGAGGCTGACCACCTGGAAAAGGCCATTTTTGTCAAGGCCTCCAATACTGTCCCTGTCACCTGACTCCATTCAGGAAATGGAGTCTGAGCTTAGAGTCAGTGCTTGGGATCCACCAATGCAATTGGCCACTTCTCATAAAAGGGATTCACATTGTACTCAACAGTGTATTGAGTGTATTTTGTTTGTAAAACTGAGACATTCACATAAACAATCTAGTCCTCAGCAAAATGCAAGACTGAAATACATCTTTCCCAAGCCATCTGTCACAGTACCGAAGAAGAGTAAGCTCTGGAAAGATTATTGTGGGTCACAATCCTGAGCAAAGAAATCAACTCACCAGAAAGAACATCCTTTGCTGTAATCCCTTTTTGGTCAGCTTGTATAAGCAGCCTTCCCTGATAAATTCCTGTGGAAAAAATATCAAAGCTTTATTTTTCTCAAAGTCGATCAGTTTTGATCTACTAACCCTTTCAGTGTCATCCTCAATCCAAAAATGTATGCAGTACAAGAGGTTGAAAAACAACTCTCTCAGGTAAGTTGTCAATTTGATACTGCACTAGAAATGGCAGTTGCACTAATATGCAGAGTGTTTGTAAGATGGCTGTGGAACTAGTGTTCTGCCATAACTAAGAATGGCTTAGGGTCGCCGCAAATTATATGAGTTCCTCTTTCTTTATAAAATACCTATTAGCAAAAGTTTCCAATGTTCCTCACTGATATAGCACACAACCAGGAGGGCTGAAAGTATTCAGGAAGAAGCATGGTGAGTACATAAAGACAACCTGCTCAGCCATATGTTCATCCATCCTATGCTGGTCCTTGTCATCTCAGGACATCACCAAGGACTGAGGCACTGAAACTATGTTGCTGATCCTAAAATTGAAAGCCCTTCAAAAAACCATGCCTCAGCACTACATTTTAAGATCCATACTGGAAAAACCACATCAGTAAGTACAAGTATAATATTTCAGAATGATTTGGTGTGCATGTTTCAGTGGTGAGATCTGCTTTTGGCAATAGCAGCATGGTCTTTGCCAGCCCCAAAATAAAGCAATAAAATCTAAAGGCAGCATCCTCTATAGGAAGCAAGCAAAGGCAAATTCAGAAATGCTGCTTTCAGTACATAGGACTTAAATGTAAGCAGAAAAAGAACTGCCTACTCTGCCAGCTGCTACAAGGTTATCGATGCCGAGCAGGTCATGCTGCAACTCTGTGAGCTTCTGGAAATTTTCCAAACGGATCAGGCTGTTTTGAAGTTGCGACGTCATTTCTGTGATTTCCTTCAGTGCATCTGCAGAACAGAAGAACCAAAAAAAAGAAAAAAAAAACCCACCCATGCCAAACCATCAGATGAAAGCAGTACTAACAAGACTACAATGTTTAGTTTAGCACCAATCAAAATACTGCAGAACTTTCTAAAGTGTTTCAGTATCACCTTTGAAATAAAATTGCATGCAATTATCAAAGGTAGGACTCTTTGCTGAGAAGTATAATTCAACTTGGATACATGCACTGATCACTCAGTAATTACAACCTGCGTATCCAAAATGGTTTCTAGATTAACTAACATTTTGTTAAAGGAGGTGTTTGGGAACACATACTTTTACAACTCCATAATTCTTGCTTCACTTCATTTATAAGATGTTATGCAGCAAAATGTTAGTATGTGTGGTATCAGACAGTTACAACAAATATGTCAGCCTTTTAATGTTACAGTTTCTTACTCAACCCTAGCCATTATTCCATTCTTCTGTGAAGGACAGCACTGTGAAACCTGTACGCAAGGCTCAATGTCCCTCTTAACCTTAAAAAAGCTGAAGGGTGGGGAGCAGAGTGGAAGTATGCAGTCAATTAATGCGCACTGTAGCATCTGTCCTCTTTCTAGCCAACAAAAGCCTGGCTAGACGGAAACAAGTCTTGCACATGCTTAGCATCCACTGTGCCGCTTTAGTGGCAGCAAAGGCTGATTATGGCTCCAAGCAGTAACAGGCACTTGGAATAACTCTACAGGTGGTGTGACCACTTGTTGCTAATGGCACAATGATGCAAATAGGGGGTGCACTCGGAGGCAGAGTTCCAGGGATGCAATTTCTATTTCCCTTTGTTTATTACAAAGGTTGGCATCAAAATTTCTGTGCATCAAAGGAAGAATATTGTTACTGGAAGATCAACTAAGAAGTCTCCAAACTGTGGGGTGTTTCAAAGGCAGGTTGTGACATTCCTAGGGGATTTGCTTTTCAAAAGAAAAGAAAGAGTATAAATTCCATGGCAATGCCCATAAGACCCTGAACATGGAAGCTTATAGTTACCCAGTGTGGACTGGGAAGTGCAGCAGAGACAACTGTTGACATCCAGTTCTCTCACCCTGTATTTTCCACTAAATGGGCTTTTTGCCCAGATAACTGAAGCAACATGGAGGGAGGGAGGACACATCTGGAGAGGTGTAAGGATAGGTTGTATACTGGCCTCTCCATTCTCCTAACCTGCAGCCAAAATGCCCCATTTTTCCCTCTCCAAGGTTGGTTTCCCACCCTTCCAGAGTAGCCAGCACAGTTCTTTTCACATCAGAAGTGAGGGGGCAGGGGAGAGAGGTTGGAGCTCCAACAGCTAGCTCTGAGATCAGAGCACGGTTTCCAACCCCACAACTGGGAATCCAAACTATCCTATAACCTTGTAGATGTCCAGGAGCCATAGGATTATACCCTAGGCTAGAAACAGCCAAAGTAGTCCTTTGAATCAAGTCCAAATGCTTAAATATTCAGTTAGTTTTAGCTCACAGATCTTGATATGGCCGCTTATTTCTGCTCTTTTTTTGGTAAAGCCAAGTATTGTTGTTAAATATCAATGGATGATTTAGGACAGCATCTCTTAGAAGACTAATCTCAAAACATGTATTTAATACATAAATACCACAAAAAGTTTCAGTATAGCTGCAGTCACAATTAAAAACTACCAATTTCTTGTCAGCTTTGCAGCTGTTAAATTAGCACTAATGCCTACCTTCAGCACACAATGTATCTAACAATAATTTTCAAGGGAAACAATAGTCATAAATCATACTTACTACAAACTCTCACCCCTAGCAGTGCATTCAGGGTATAAGCAGTAACTTTTCTTTATAGGAAGACTGAATGATTCATGTAATTATTGAAGAGAGAGCACCATCTTGGAAATGTTTGGTAAGTGGGCAAGCTATCCTGAACAAATATTTTGTTTTATACTTCCTAAAAAACCCACAGTGAAAGCCACAAAGTTTCTAGTTTTGTGCTTAAAATAATTTTTGCTAACTGAAGGATTTATGCCCTGACATATTTACTGACATTGTGTCCAAGAGTTAGATTCTCATAATGCTGTGCTCTACTTTGCAAAGAATGATGGAAAACAAGGAATTAAATGCAGAATACAAGCCCAGGAAGTGGAACAGAGGACTGAGTAATAGTCTGGGTCTGCTTAAAATTTTCTACAACCCTAATCTGCCTGCAGAAATTGTCCTTCCCACATTTGCACTTCGTTTTCTATTCATGATTACACAGATCCTTAGAGCAGCCAATTTTACCCACAGAAGAGGCACAAGGAGTTGTGCTGGGCAATGATGTCCTTCTCTAGCCCCCCCCCCCCCTTTATTTGGTATGAGTCAGTCTTTAGCTCAATGACACAGTGCTCACAGAGGACAACACTAGATACAAGGACACAAGCTCAGGTATTTCTACAGGTGACAGAGCTAATTATTTAGACACTCTTTTGAGGTATTCAGGAGAACAGCATCAGCCAATTGGAGCCCACCAATTTGTTTTGGTTTCTTGTGAGGTACTAGAGGTCAAAGGAAATGAAATTAGATGATTCAGCTCTGCAGCAATACAATTTCCATCAAATGCTATCAATCGGCAACATAAATAAATGTCAGCATGAGGTTTTATAGCGATTTGCTTGATCTCACTCACTCCTGCAGTCAGCGTAGTCTCGGTGATCTGCTACGTAGTGTTTGCAAAGTCTCCCCAGGATCAGCTTGTAGTGCATTAACCTCTGGATAGGTTTGAGCAGGAAAGTGTTGAGTGGCAAATAACAAACCTTCTGGAGTTCAAACTCCTTATAAACCATTTCCAGTTTCTTAATGCGTTTTGTTGCTTTCTCTAGTTCTGTCAAGACCTCATCGTGTTTCTGCAGATAACTGGTAAATTCCTGAGGAATCAAAGAAGATGCGGCCTTGAGAAGAGGCACAATAACGTTTCAAACACACTGTTGAGCCTATCAATGAAATAACGTTAACTGCGATATTGGAACAAATACTGAGGGAAACACATGTTCTCACTGTGGTTTTTTTAAACATACCCATTCTGACCAGAAAGCAACCCAAATATATTACTTGCCATCATTCACACACACACACAGGTTGTTTACCTGTACCTATAGTTTTTGGGTGATCATCTGTACATTCATACACTCAGCAATCTTCTACATCTCAGCAATTTTTGGCAGAACTTCCCCCCACCATCCCAACACATATGTGGTCTCACCACTTCCCCTTGGTTCTATGAGTTTGCTGCAGCAGTTAAGAACACAAAGAGGATCATGTATCTCCACACTGGCAAAGGGGCTGTTGGTGAGTTATGTGAAAGCCGAGATGACCATTCAAAGAACTACAGTGACAGGTCAGCAAACAATCTTTTATGGATGGAAGTTATTTGTATTTCCAAACCTTTAGTGTATGCATATTTCTCAGCATAACATCACCAATTCGTTGATAGTCTCCTTTCACGGAAGCATTAGAACGCCCCTCCCTACAATTGAAAGGAAAAAAATTAAATTCTAGGGAAAACTCTAAAAGTGCTTTTCAGAGACAGTCAATAAAATTGTTTTCCAGTGACTGAAGGATACAAATTGCAATTATGAAAGAAAATAAAGAGCACCAAAACTGTTTCTAGCTTTTTTACAGCAAACCCTGCAGATCACTCCAATGTATTTATTTGTATTTATCAGAAACAACAAAAAGATAGAAAAGCTAAATGTGAACATAACAAGATGGTGTATAAGCACCGTTTTTTGAAGAATGACATTTTTGAAAGGACTTCATTTAAAAAAAAAAATTACATACCCACAATACTTTACTTTCAACTCAGAAATAGTAACTTTAGGCCAACCATTTCTTAAAATTAAGGGGGCAAGACCAATCTAGACTAGCACTGTTTAAATTAGCATGAAATAGTAAGGAAGAAACGCCCATTTTATCTTCTCATGTAATGTAAACCACATGCAAAAATTTTTGTGAGTTTTTTTTTTTTAAGGTTTCCTTTAGGAAGACATATTTACACTGTAATATCAGTTGTCCCAGATATTGTCTTTGGGCCAATTGTTTACTGACTAAAGATACAACTAAGAAAATACACAACAGCCTTTGATTATTATACATATGTCCCTTTATCATTCTACTAGTTTCTCCTACAAATAGAAAGAACCCTTACTCAATCTCTGGAATGACTGTGTACTCACTGAAGATTTAGAGCCCACGTTTCATGCAGATAGGCAAAAATCAACCTCTGGGGTGATTTAATTAAATATCTGTAGCTACTACTAGAGGAAAGGACTTTTCATCAAGTATTGGAGAACTTCAGGAATGAAATATTCACTTTCACAAATGCTCATATATGCTTACCAGAGTGCTAGCCGTTGCTCAAGCTCTTTCAGAAAGCCTCTATGGAATTCATAAATGGGGTCTATATTAGAGAAGAACAAGGTCATAAGAACTTCAGGCATCGCATTCTCCTTGATAACTGCACTGCGGAACCACTGAAAAGGAAAGATGAATAAGAAAAAGGTGGTTCATTTCCTTTGGTCAGTGCCAGAGTGTTAGTGCCAGATAATCCAGAAAAAAATGTGAGGAAATTTTAAAAATACCACAAAATACCAGGAAATTCTAATTTATAACTTTACCCGAACAGTATGTCAGTGTAACATGCATCTCCAACATCTGCAGGAGGAGGTCGTGATTATCACTTCTATAAATAGGGAAGAGTCAGACACTCAACAAAGTTCTCTTAATATGAAAACATTGGCCTTGTCTGGATGATTAGGATCTTGGTTTAAGCAAGCCAAGATATACACAAGTTTTAGATGCTTGCATGTAGTTGCTTGACTCCTTGTTTTTCATGAGTTAATTCAAGAATTTGAGTTAATTATAGCTTCCTGTGACATCTAAACCAGGAAGTTAAATATGTAGCTATGATTTAAAGTTGGCTTTTGTATTTGGCCTTGTTTGTAAGCCATCAACCATAGTTGCACTGTTTGTATGTAACAGGAAGTCAAAGTTAAGTGCAGTTCCTACCATGTTCGTTCACTCACTCATTCTCTCTCGTAAAGCAAGGAGCCAAGTAGTCAAGTGTAGGTCCTCTATCTTCTGCACCTACTGGCTTATTAAGCCAGGGTTTTGGTAGTCTGAATCAAGTCAGGAGAAATCAATGAACAGAATCTTCCAAGTGTGTGCTTAAAATGTAAAAGCAAGGGACCATGATTTGGATTGAGACCAAAAAGCTAGGGGAAAAGTCTTCTCCCTAAGCATCTCTCCCCCAGTTTATAGCCTTTCCAGATGTACCTATTTCCCTTGCAGGTAAACAAGCAGAAGTATGAATTAATTTTCTCCTGTAAGCATTGTGATGCTGATATGAACCAACTCACTCCAAACTCACAGCTGCTTTTACATTTAAAAGGCCACAAGAAATGCTGTTCATGAATCTCCCTTATCATACCTAATTTGGTCCTAAACAGCAGCTATTTTGGATTATCGTTCAACCACCAATAAGACTTTCAGTGAAGATATTTGCTCATAAAAGAAACAGTTTAAGCTTCAAAATAGACAAGATTGCTCATGAAATATTTCTGTCATGACTTTAGCATTAAACAGAGAGCTAAATAATATCTATATATTTTAGATGAATGCTAGAAAAGAGAAAAAGAAAAAACATAGGATGATAGGGTTGTTTTAAAATTGAAATGGCTGTTCCCAAACTACCATTAGGTGGAAGCACCTCTACATGGGGTCATGAAACAGTAATTCTTGCAACTAGAAATCTGCAAGGTTTCTAAGTGAATGGGTGAATGGATACAACAAATTAGATTCATTAAAACAAAAGGAAAAAGTGCCAAGAAGATGGAGGGGCAGAATAATAAAAAAGAAAGTGTTAAGAAATGATTTTGCTCCACTCCTTGAAAGAGTAGTAGCTGTAGATTACATGGAAAAAAGATGATTTAGTTATAACCTTGTTTATAATTACTCTTTGGGGAAATACAATGAGTTGTAATAGGTTTAAATAACTTACTACAGTTAGAACTTCTAGGTCTTTTAAATAAGTTCGTTCAGTAGCAAGAATTTCTTTTGCAATGAAATATGCTTTATCTGCTGGGTATCTCTGAAAGAAACAAGCAAATCCCAAATAAATGAAACAGAAAATGGTTCTTATTAACTATGAACTAGGTTAAGCTGTAGTAAGACTCTTTGAAACAACCAGATGTAGCAATATAGTAGATAGTTGAAATAGTGCTCTCCTGCTGTGAATGGCTTTGAAGTTGCCTTTTAAAAATATTTGAAGCAACTATGCCAAAATTTGGGAAACTAAATCCTGAATCTGTGCTGTGAATGTGGGTTTCATTAAACCACAGCTTGACCCTGATCTTCAACTAGTTGAATACAGCATAGAGCTACCGACTTGCAATAGGTATGGAGACACTGCGCATAATAACCCCTATTTTACAGATAGAATAAAAATAAGAGCTGAATTGATGGGAATGGACATCCTCATTATGAGTGCTTATGAGTGCTGATAAGAATCATGCTGACTGACGGGCACTGCATCTGAATATGCATATAAACTCCATTCATTTGGTACCTGGATGAAAGATTTCTAATCTAGCTGGGTGGCTTCGCAAAGTACATTTGCTCCCCACCCCTGAATGAGTAAGATAGATGAGGGATGAGGGACACTTTTTGAGTTCTACTGTTTTTCTATGGCACAGGTGTCAAATCTCTTTGACTTCATTGGACAAATTCAGTTTTGGACAATCTATCAGGGGTCACATTCCACAGGTGGGCTGAACGCAAAGGGACAGGTTCAAAAATACCAGCCTAATTTAACTTAATTTTAAATTAATTAATTTTAAATCAATTGCCAATAAGCTGCCAATTTCAACCTTATAGAATGTGAAAAGGTTATGCAAAGGCTGAGAAAACACGAAAAAGGCAGTCAGAAGAAAGGAGTATGGTTATCTGGACAAGTCCAAAGGGCTGTCCTGGATCCGCAACTGGTCTGGATTTGGCTCATGGACATGAAGATCAACACATATGCCGTATGGCAGTGGTTTTTGACCAGCACTGGCCCACTGGCATTTCCTGCTGGTCCATGAAAGAACTGCTGTTATGCACATCTCACTTGCCAGGACCAGCGCAGGGCTAGCTGTGCTCTCGCTGCTGATCCCCCACCACTTCCTTGGCCAAGGAGGCTGGGGAGCAGTAGAGGCAGCTCAACAGGAGCCAGCTGGGAGCCACATCATGCTTGGTCCACCCTCTGGGAGCAGCCCAGAAGACCAGGCCTCTTCCTTTTCCTGCTGTGTTTTCTACTGGAAAGGAAAATGCTGAGGCAAGATTGTGCTGAGGGTGTTTTCTGAGCCAGTCTGTGCTGGTTTGTATGGGGGTTTGAGTGGGTGGGGTTCATTGTATTTTAATATTTAACATTATTAATATTATTAAGTAACTTTTTTGATTTTGCATTGCTCTGCTGTTAATATCGTATTTGAAATTGCATTTGCTATGAGCATAGTATTGCATTTATATTGATTTTGTATTTTGCTACTGTAAATTTTTGATAGAGTGTTCTTGAAAAGAAGCAATAGCACATTCTGTGATAGCCTTATTTGAATTACATATTGCTCTTCTAACAAGATTGTCTAGCTGTTATGTGTGCATCTATGCAGTCATGTTGCTTTGAACAGGCTTCTGTTACTTACTCACGCTGAACATATGTAAGTAGAAATTAATGAAGTCACAAAGTGGGTTTTGAAGAAAAAGTTAATCTAATCTCCAATGAGAAAGATTCAGCTTTGCATCTTCCTATATGATTTTCAATATTAAAAACCCTTTGTTTTTACACAGAGGCCAACCATAATGTTCCTATATTTTGTTATATGCAACTGGAAAAATTTCTACATTTTTGCAGGGGGGTAACTTCTATCCATAATGCTAACTTTCTTTTTGCTTAAATTTCAGAACCTGTCTTTTGTTCTAAACAGTTTCACATTTATCATGGTTACATCAACAACTGGAAACAATATTATTGTTAATCAAGCTAAATAGCCTAAGGGTTGATAGAATTTGGTAAAGAAACAGAAAAATTTCCACCCATTCCACCAATGTGTGCCAAAAAAGGGGAAAAACATTTTGGAAAAAGAATAATCAATTATTGGATTACAGCAGAATACTAGGAGTCAGTTTAAAAATATTTTATTAAATTGTATTTCTAGTTTTACTTATAAACACTCCTCTCAAGATAGGAAGGCCACATATTCTTGGAATAAAAAGAGGCATTAAATTCATTGCTATGAATGAGTATGACAAAAGCCATGCCCCTTTTAGGAATTCAAAATACTTGCAAAGTGTGGGGTACTTCATTTTTCATTAATACATTCGTTGGAAAGTCTTGTTGGGGGAAAAGATGTGTGAAACAGTTGTAAGATAATGTTTACTGTAGCCCTTTTAAGAGGACTACAATATGGCACAGATCAAGTACTAACATGCAACACAGAAAACAGCAATCAAAGTTGAAAACCATGCAGTGAAAAGAAACAGAAACTGTACTCCTCGTTAATGAGAATCTCTTTCCTATTACCTTACGTCTTGCTTCATCCTCTTCTTCTACCCTGGCACCACCAACATCACTCAAGACAGGACTCAAGAGGGGAGATGAACCCTGGGCAGGTGCATTTATAGTCATATGAACTGGAGGGTTCAAGGTTGTTGGACTTTTCATTTTAAACGAAGACAGGTGAGGACCTAAGCATCACATTAAGAAACAAGAAGGGGAGGGAGGAAAATAGGTTAAGGATTTCAATTTTAGTAACATACCAGTCAAATCTACATTGTACATACAAGCAGCTGTTAGCCCCAATATTAAGAAACTAGCCCTCAAATATTTGTAAACAATCTTTGAAAGTAACTGACAGAACTTCTTGGAGTTCAACTGGAATTATGTAAGAATCAAACCTCTAAACAAAATTAACTTAGTAACTACCACCAGTAGAACTTCCTATACTCTGTTTAAACATGTCAGGATAATATGCTGCTTTAACATGCTCTTTTTGGAAAATTACAGAACTCTTTTGAAAAGGGAGAGAAAAGATCAATAGAAACAACACCCAAGAAAAAATGGTAGTAGGAAGCAGCAGGCGAGTCTCCCATATTTTCAGAAAACAGCTTATTTCAAAAGTTATGAATACATGGAGAGAGGAAATGGGCTTCTAGAATACTGAGACCACAGATTACATTCCCTTCCTGACTTGGATAGCTTAGCTCACTGCTCCTCAAGTTTCTACATACAATTTCCTCCACTGACTTAACACCACATTGCATCATTAATTGGGTGGAGATAGCACTTTCATGTTTTGAGTACTTTTTGAGGGTGTGGATAATCGCACTATCAAGGTAATTGTCATGTAGCAAGGCTTGGAGGAGACTAGAGAAGGCAAGGAGATTGGCAAGATAACATTTTAGCATGTTTCCAAGCTGAAGAAGTGTTTCATTTCTTTCAGCCTTTCTCTGGAACAAGCAAGTGATCAACTAAACAAATGTTGCTCTCTACATAGGCTTCCCAACCTTAACATGCTGAACAACTAGGTTCCAGGACCCTCCCTTTTGCAAACAAATACTGTGCTGTTTCATATACTATAATGTCTTGAAGGAAACAGTGGCACAAATATAGCATCTTAGCACCATTTGCTTCTCAGAGCACAAAATCCCAAATTAAGCTGTCCATATCATTATCACTCATTTTCAAAACAGACTTCATTGGATTTTGTAACTTTTTAAATGTTATAATGAAGAGGTCTAAACTTGTTTTGCAGAGGGCCACACCAGACAGCACCTATGCTGACACCAAAGTACACTTTAGATATGTTGTAACTCTCACTCCAAATTCCATTCTGTGCAACCACAGCACAATAGCACAAGTCTTTGACCTCTGGTCAGTATTTATTTTTTATTCTGCTATTTTATTATTTTAAAAAGTCACTCCAAATTGCCAAATAATGCCCACCCGAAGTGATCTTGTGGCATAGCAATAAACAGGCACGCAATACTTCTCAATGCTTTTTTTAAAGGCAGAGATTAAGAAGTTGGAGAAGAGCCAGTTCCATGCTTTCTGCTGCACTATCAAAAGGAACTGAAGGAACTGACTGCTGATCTTTTGATTCAGGAAGCAAAGCTGTTTAAGAAGTCATGAATGAAGCAAGAAAGGGAAGGCAGTATGAAAAGGAAAGGAAGTTTCTCAGTGAATGTGTTCAAACTAACTCAGGAAGCTAAACACTGTTACACTTAGTCACCTGGAAGAGATTCAGAGCATCAGGGACAAAGTTAACTATTAACATTCTTCAGCCAAACCACTGCATATTGTATGAGATCACAGAGTCCCTCCCACCTTCTTTTCAGCAACTGTAAGAGCTAAAACTAAAAATTTGCTGGCATTTGTTCCTTGCAGGAATGCAGTTTATTGGAAATCTGCTTTAACTTACAACTGATGCCAAACAGTTTGCAACTGTCCCAAGGTGTTAAAACTGTATTTTAAATGCCAATAGAAACATCTCTATCATTTTTTAAACATGAAATTTGAAGGTGTTGTTTAAAGTCTTGCAGTTTGTTTCCTTTTCTTTGCATATATGAAGGAAGAAAACATTTTTTGACTCAAAGCTCTGGCTCACATTGATCACCAACAGTATTGAAGTGTTAATAGATGTGTGTCAATGGGATACTGCTAAACTTTAAAACAAAGATGGTTCTGAAATTTGATACAAATCAGCATGTAAGAGTGAACAAACTAAAATACTTTTCTCTAAATGGATTACTATAAATAGTAAATGTTTCCTGATACAGGAGGGATAACTGGTAGAACTCTTTTGCAGACTGCTTTATCACAGATTGAATGTGTGAGAATTTAGAAGAGAATTTGTATGGCATCTCTACATCTTTGATAGTTTACAAGTCTCTTTTCAGTGAAAGGAGGGGAAAACTGTGTGTTCAGGATATGAGCAGAAGCTACTTAAGTTGTAGAAAGCTGTTCAAATTTGTAGGAACCAGTATTTTGCCTTTAAGTTTTAATCTATCCCACAATTTACAGATTCTTTTCTTGTCTTTGTAGACACATATCCCTGGACATATGAAAAACTGCAGTTCATTTGCCAGCTTTGCCCCTTCTGTGCTTCCAGAGAGGACTACACTTTCGTTTTTCAGCTGAAGATTCATTCTCTCTCTCTCTCTCTCTCTCTCTCTCTCTCTCTCTCTCTCTCTCTCTCTCACACACACACACACACACACACACACACACACACACACCTCCATCAGAGAAGTTGAAATACAGCTGTATAAAAACTAATGGGAAGTAGAACAACTCCAATATATACCTGTCAGCAGTTAAAGAATGGAAGACAGAAACGTCTATATTCCTGTGTTTTCCCTACCAAAATACTTTGATAAGGAAATTACTTATAATTGGTACTAACAGTGTTCTTCTATTATCAGGTCATAATAAATAATAAAAATTCATTTTGTACCTTTAATCTACAAAAATTGTACTTAACTCTGCTTTTCTATGTGTAAGTGTGGATTCTCCAAAAGCTCTGAAGCCATTTGCTTTTCAATCTGACAAATAAATAGATGCATTTGCTGGTGGTATAAATGCATTAAAAGGGCAGTGAAACAAGATTTTACTTTCAAAATGGATACTACTCTCTCAAAAACTGACACTTTCTGTGCACTATTATAGCTACAGCCAACCTTGTGTGGATTTATTCTCATGCAACAGAACTCTCTTTTATACTCCCCTCCTTAAACTATACACCCTTCTTAATATTGCCTCATAGGGGTCATCACTCTTCTGCAACACATTTGGAGGGCTGCATGTGATAGGGGCATCTATTCAAACTAGCAGTTATCTGTTTTGCTGGAGCATTGACATCATTGGATACAATCCTCTGGGCAAGATTTCACAATGGCCTTGTTCACACAATCAACATGAATTAAACAAGCTACAATGGCTTATTCAGGTCATGATGCATGCCAGGGCTAATCACCCACAGGAGTGCAACTTTCCCCGTCATCTGAAACCAGGTGGCATGGCCTGTAAAAGATGGAAACAACCCACAAATAACTCAACAACTATTCATAGGTTTAAGGCACAATAATTATGCAAACTGTCCCATTAGCCCAGCTTTTTCCAGGGAAGTTGATAAGAGGTGGCTAGGGAATTGAGAGTGTTCAGACCTTGGTTATAGCAGAGCATTTGTGAAAATTCTACCTTTTAGAATCAAGACATAAATGTTCGATAAAGCCAGCATTTTAAAAATTACTTAAAACCTGATTAAATCTTCTTAATGTGCCTCCAATACAGTTCCAGAAATGATGCACCCGCAATCCCTAGTTGCCTCTGAATAGAGATGGTTCGGAAATTGTTCATTGTATACGCACAATCTCTCCTTTCAAAATGAAATGTGATAGCTTCTCAAAAAGTACAAAGTGCTAACATTCCAGGCCCACACATGGCTTAATACCAAAAAAATCAAAGTATAGCCAATGTTGCAGATACGTATATCAGAATATCAGCAGAAAAGCTGAAGTGTCTGGTTTGTAGGACTTTTTTTGTACATCATTCTGATTCAATATTTTCTAAAAGCAGCTAATTCTCCCCCCACCTCTCGTGTTGTATAGTGCTTTCAATAATGAAAATTAAGTGAAGTATGGATAATACAATTCCTAATTTGAGAATTATGAACTTTGGCTATTGGGTGGTATAAATAACAAGTAACAAACAAACAAACAAACCCTTTCCCTGAAACACCCAAGTTCAAGCTCTGACCTCCAGCACTTTACTGGAGATATATTTGCTGGAAGAGCACTGAGACAAAGATGAGATTGAACTCAAACATCTGCAATTTGGAACATCTTTAGCGTTTGGTAATAGTTGCCCAACGTTTGTCCAAACTGTAATTTTGTCTATATCAACGTACATTCTGGGGTAGTGTAGTGATTAACAGTCTAATGTATGAATCAGACCGGCTCTAGAGGAGCTGCAGCTGAGCGGCAGAGCATCTGCTTCGCATGCAGAAGGTCCTACATTCAATCCCCAGGTCATGCTGAAACCCTGGAGAGCTGCAACCAGTCAGTGTCCCAATACTAAGCTAAATACACCAATAGTCTGACTCAGGAGCTTGCTACGCTCCTACAGATGCTATTTAACGCAGTCATGAACTCTACTGTACAGCCCTATGGAAGGCACTTTCTTTCAGTCTCAGCCCTCAACGCTAAGCCAGGAATAATACTGGGCTACTTACAGAATATTCTAAAGAATAAGCAAGGTATTATATTACATGCATTGAAACCACACAGAAGAACTAAATTTAAATTTCACAAAAGTGGCTTTTTGTTTTTACAAATCATTCTAATAGTAGTAAAACCTGACTGAAGCATATGCATTTATTATTTGTTTATAAAACCTTTAAATCAAAATTCTGATGTGGCATTCAATTTGAACTAAATATAAAGTTTCAAATTCTTTAGTCTGCGCACTTTGGGCACAAAATCTGCATCCAAGTTTTAAAAGTACAGGTTTATCCTGCTCTAATATTATGGTATACTTAAGCTCACACATATATTTTATCTCCTTGAAAAGTATTTACCCCCATTATTCACACTGCTTCCACAACTCTATAGCAAAGAATAAATCTAGAACCTACTAACAGTAGTCATAAATAGAATACATGCAGCAACATATATAATAAAACTAAGGC